GGACAGGCCCCAGGACAGGCGCTGCACGCGCTATGCCGGTGTCTTGTCCCCACACACTCTCCACACACCAGCTGGGCACGGAGTAGCTGCAGTCCATACACAGACACGATGATCCTCCCTGATGGTCCTCCCGCAGCAAGAGAGCGAGTCCTCCCCAATGATTCTCCCTGGCAGTCCTCCTGCAGCAGGAGTGAATCCTCCCCGACAATCCTCTCACAGCAGGAGAGCGAGTCCTCTCTGATGATTCTCCCCATGATCCTCCTGCAGCAGGAGAGTGAGTCCTCCCCAACGGTCCTCCCGTGGCAGGAGAGTGGGTCTTTTCTTTCCGTGACCAGGAAGCTGCTGAGAAGCAGAGCTGGTTTGTCTTTTGCACCCACTGCCCACGATTTCCATTGAAATTTGCCTAGTATTTAAACCATCTGAGCGTCCCAAGGCTGAGACAGTGGCAGGTTTGGGGTTGTTTTCGTTTAATCTGATGCCTTTACACAGAATCACTTGGTTTGGGTTAAAATTCCAAATCTAAAAAAAAAAAATTTTTCTTAAAGGGGCTGGAGAGATAGCACAGCGGGTAGGGCATTTGCCTTGCACGCGGCCAACCTGGGTTCAATTCCCAGCATCCCATATGGTTCCCTGAGCACTGCCAGGAGCACTTCCTGAGTGCAGAGCCAGGAGTAACCCCTGTGCATCGCCGGGTGTGACCCAAAAAAAACAAAAACAAAAACAAAATTAAAATTACATATCTGGAGTGAGTCCATTGAACTCTCATCTCTCACGTGGGTCCTGCCTGGGGAGGCAGGAGGACTGTCTTCCCCCCTCCTTGGGCCACCGGGCACACACTCCCCAGCACCTCCCGGGCCAGCAGGGCTCTGTGCCCACCTTGGTGCCCTGGTCTCCCACAGGGGATGACAGAGTGGGGCGCTGGGACAGAGTGTCCCCAACATGAGCACAGCCTCCCCATGGACACTCCAGGTTCAGGCCCGGGGGACAGGTGTGCTCTGAGTTTGCACAAGCTCTCAGTCTCACACACACCCACCACACACACTCACATGGACACACACGCACGCTGCACTCACAACTAGGCAGACAGCCCTGGTCTAGAGAACTCGGTGGTGAGAGAAAATGCACGTCTGCATTCTCACTTCCCGAGGAGCCCCCACTGCTGCAGGCCCCCCATTGCTGCAGACCGAGAGGGGCTCGAACCTCCTCCCTCCCAGACGTGGTCTCTTTCCGCAGCCAGTGCCAGGCTGCTGCCGCTCGGAGATCCTGCAGGTGCTGACCCTGCTCTGCTCCCACAGACCTTCGCGGCCTCTCCCTTCTGTCTTTGTTTTTGCTTTTGTTCTGTTTTTTGTTTTTCATTTCTGCATCTCAAACTCCAAGGAGGGCAGGAGGTATAGCAGGGGGCCCAGAGCCAGCTCTGCTTCTCAGCCTCTGCATCTGCACAGCATGGTCCTATACTGCCCTCTAGTGCTAGAGACTCACTCGGTCCTCAGGTACCAGCCTCCCCATTCTAGAGAATTCTAGAAAGCCCCAGATTCCTGGAGCAGGCAGACTGACCTCCTGGACCGTTCTTGCCGCTTCCTCCTGTCACTGGGCACTGAAGCATGTCCTCTCCCACCTCTGGGTTCGAGAGAAGCATCCCGGGCTTGGCTAATGTCTCTGGCGAGTGTCACCACCATGGCAGAAGGGGCCTGGTCCTGAAGAGGAGGCCCATGTACGCTGGTGAAGCAGGAGGAAGTGTGCAATGCTTGTGCCACTTGGAAATAGGCCCACGGAGCCGCAAGAAGCTTCTCTCAGACACGGGCAGCTTCTCTCAAACACGGGCAGCTTCTCTTGCAGACACGGGCGGCTGCTCTCAGATATGGGCAGCTTCTCTCTCAGATATGGGAAGCTTCTCTCTCAAACACGGGCAGCTTCTCTCTCAGACACAGACAGCGTCTCTCTCAGACACGGGCAGCTTCTCTCTCAGACATGGGTAGTTTCTCTCAGACACAGGCAGTTTCTCTCAGACACAGGCAACTTCTCTCTCAGACATGGGCAGCTTCTCTCAGACATGGGCAGCTTCTGACAGACATGAGAGCTTCTCTCAGACATGGGCCGCTTCTCTCAGACATGGCAGCTTCTCTCAGACATGGGCAGTATCTCTCTCAACACGGGCAGCTTCTCTCAAACACAGGCAGTTTTTCTCTCAGACACGGCCAGCTTCTCCCTCATACACAGGCAGCTTCTCTCAGACATGAGCAGCTTCTCTCTCAGACACGGACAGCTTCTCCCTCAGACATGGGCAACTTCTTTCTCTCAGACATGGGCAGCTTTTCTCTCAGATGCAGCATAGCTGGTGGGAACCGAGCATGTTGCTGTTTGCCAGCACGACAGAGTCTCTGAGCCTGATGGGGAGCCACAGTTGCCTCTCTCCACTCATATGGCAGCATCCAGGCCTGGAGAGCAGCAAGAGTCCAGCCTGCTGAAATGGCCTTCCAGGTGGCCGTGTCCTACCACCAGGCATGACCTGCTGGGTCTGGCCATACCCATGGGTGCAGTGAAGTTGAAGACCCTCATTCAGAGCCCTCCAGGGCCATGCCCAGAGCCCCTCAGAGCCCCCAGAGCTCTGCCCACAGCCCCACATGAGGGTCTTTGAAGTGTCCAGGGAGCCCTCCAAGGCACACATGCCCATGTCCCTCCTGATCACAAGCACTATCCGCACCAAGCAGGGCACCTGCAGGTGGAGGGTCAGCAGCGTGGCATCCCCTTTCCAAGAAGAGGCGAACAGGACGGACGCTGTGCCACCAGGGACCATGGCCAATCTTAGAACCCCGGGTCTCAGAAGGTCCTCAGACCCTTGTGTCTGGCATGGGGGCCTCAGACCCCCCCGCCCCGACTCCCCGCCAAGAACTCTGGGTTCCCGCTCCGGTTCAGCCTCACCCACCAGGGGAAGCAGAGCAAGGCCGTGTGGGCTGGACAGTGGGCAGCCACCCTGGGCTTCTCCCTGGACCCAGGAAGGGCAGAGGGAGGGGAGTCCCCAGGCAGTAAGTAGGACTGAGCGAGGATTGGAAGGGGCGTCTCCAGGGCCACACCATGTCCCCTCAAGGATGCTTATGGTGGCCCTTGCTGGTCCCAGGGCCAAGAGCCCCAGCTGGCCCGTGGCCCCGGGGGCTGCAGGTACGGAGCCTGAGGGCTGCGGCAGCGGGACTCACTCTGAGCTCAGGGTCACACTCTCACATGCCTGCGCATGCCCAGACATCCTGGGCGCATCCCATGGAGAAATGAGCATGCATGTGAGTGGGCACATGGGCCTGCACACGCATGTGCAAGCTTACACAATGCAAGTGTGACAGCAAGCATGCGTGTGCATGTGCACACAGAGCTTGAGCAGGACGTGTGTGTAAGCATGTGCACACGGTGTACAGACGCTTGCCAGCTCAGCAGGCCCCACCCCCGCCCCCAGCAAGGGCTGCAGGAAGCAGTGACTAAGGGAAACGCAGCACGGCCCCAGCCTCCCCTGCGCCCAGGGTCTGGGTCCCTCCCCTGCCAGCAGCTTTGCCCTCAGGGACAGGCCCAGGGTCACTGGAAGCCCCACATCATCCCCACCGCTGGAGGCCAGACGCAGCGGCTGGCACTGGCCCTTTGTGTGTGGTCCCGTGCAGCTTCTTGTTGCACACAGAACCCCTCTGGGCTGGTCCAGCTCCTGGATGGGGGCTGGAGCTCAGGGATGGGGAGGGCCGCTGACATCATGGGGTGTGGGGGGAGCAATTCACGCTTCACGAGACATCCTGGGACCATCCCAGAAAGCCAGGGTCCCTCACAGTCCCATGACAGTCCCACGACGTGCCTCCCGTACTCTGTGCTGCCTGCCTGGCTCTCCATCCCCGCCTCACCCATGGTGCTGGCCCGGCCACTCTGCTCACTGCCTTGGATGGGGCACGGGAGCAGGGAAGGCCCCCAGACTGTTCTGGGTTCAGATCCAGACTCTGCTTGGTGAAGCGAGTCCTGTCGTCCGGGCCCTGGTGTGCAGAGCCGCACTCGGGCACCGGCCTCTGTGCAGCCCACTCACTGCCAGGACGTGGCTGCCTGCTCTGAGGCCCAAGAATGGCGCTGGGGTCTGCGGCGGACCCACCCTAACTGGAGGGCCATCCTGGGCCCTTGCACACGTTGTCCCCTTTCATGTCTGGTTCCCCAGCATCCTCGACTTCTCCAAGCTCTGTGCTCGCGGACACTTGTGGGGACACCTTGAGCTCCAGCCCCAGCTCAACTCCTGGGCAGACGCGGAGCTTCCCTTCACCTTCACCCTGGACGTTCTCAAGGATGTGACCCTTGGCCTGAGACCAGGAGCTCTGGCCAGCCGCGGGGGTGGACACGTGCCCACGTGAGGAGCCATATGCTCCCCACTCACGCTGGCTCTTCCCGAGACACGAGCAGAGGAACACCCCGGGTGGCGCCTGCCAAGTACCTCGCCCCCATGGCGAGTCGAGCTGGCACGTGTGTGAGTCACACACACAGCAGGGCTGAGTCGCCCACCTTCATCTCTGGCCCGCGTCTGGTGGCACAGACCTGCCTTTGCGCTGGGCACTGACAAGGCTTGGGGCGCAGCCACACTCGGACGCTCCCATCTTTCCATGGAGGTCTCTGTGAGACTGACCCCTGGCACTCCAGGGGCCAGGACGGCCTCTCCCCTGCTGCAGTGTCCACTGCTCAGCCTACACCCACGGGTCTCGCCCCGCCCCCTACGCCCCACGGTCCTCCCTGAGCTTGGAAGCAGGAGGGACAGCGAGGGTCTTCCCGGTCCAGGCAGCGCCTCCCTGGCCCGCGCGTCCTGGCGCCTGGAGCTCAGGCCAGAGACCCTCATGCCACCACAAGGGGCCCAGGTGCCTCGCAGAGCCTGGGCTGTCTGGCCGACCCGGTGCCCAGCGTCCCCGCGCCCAGTCCTGGTCCTGTCCCAGAGCCCGGCTCCAGCGGGCGGAGCGCGCGTCGTCCCGGCCGCCCATTGGCGCGCGGGCGGCGGGCGGGGCGCGCGGGCGGCCGGGCGGGGCCAGCTGCAGGCTGCGGCCGCTCCGAGCCATCGGCGGCCTCCCCAGCCATGGACGACGTGGAGGTGGTCGCGGCGCGGCCCGGCGGCCTGCGGCGGCTGCTGAAGCAGCACTCGGGGGCCGGCAAGGCCATCGGGGTGCTGACGAGCGGCGGGGACGCGCAGGGTGAGCGCGGGGCGCGGGGCCGCGCGGACCGGTGGGGTCGGCGGGGGCGTGTCCACCCGGAGGGGCGCGCGCGGCGGGGCTGCGGGGCGGGCAGGGGTGCGGCGGGAGCCCCGGGACCCCCGTGTCCTGGCCTCGGCCCGGCCCGGCGTCCGGCGTGGCGAAACGGCCGGTGCCCGGCACGCCCGCGCGCGCTCGCGGGATCCCGGGGCGGGTGCCAGGCCGCGGCGCGCGGGGACGGGGCGCGGGGACGGGCCGTTCTGCGGCCGCTCACTCGGCGGCCGGTCACTCGGCGGCGGGCACCGCGCGGGCTGCGGCGGGGAACGTGAGTGCACGAGCCCCGGCCCCTCCCGGGCCCGCCCGCCCTGCCCGCGCCCCGCCGGCCCACGCTGCCCGGGATGCTCGGTGCTGGCCGCGCCGTCCGCGCGTGACCTTCGCTCGCCCTTGAGCGGGGCGGGGCGGGTGCGGCAGGTTGGGGCCCCGGGGCCGCCCCGCCCGCGCCTCGGCTACGTGATGCCCGGCCCGTCGTCGCCACCGCCGCCGCCGCCGCCGCCGCCGCCGCCGCCGCCGCCGCAGCCGCCGCCTGCGCGCCCCAAGCCTGGCACCGCGCTCCCGCGGCTTCCGGGACCTGTTGCGGGCAGGGGGCTCGGCCCCGAGAGATGCAGCGGGCAGGGGGCACGGCCCCGCGCCAGCTCGGATGAACTCCCCCGACGCAGGCCGCAGGAGGGACTGGGGTCCACGGCAGGCCCGGGGGTCCGGGTGGCCTCCGTGGGGTGATGTGTCCCCGCCCCGGACCCCGCCCCGCCAGGAACAGGCGGGGGGCTGCGGGTCTTGGGAAGCACCGCCCAGAGCCCGCTGCCCCTCAGCCCGGCAGGCAGGCGCAGGGGCAGGGCGCAGGAAGAGGAACTGGCAAGGAAGCCCCAGGCTTCAAGGTCAGAGTTTTAAGGTGGTTCTAGGACCCAGGTGCTCGGCCCTGCGGGGCGGAATATTTCTGGGCCTTCCACAGAGGCGGTCACTGCCAAAGGTGTCCTGCTCGCAGCTTCGACCTACAGTTGTGTGGAAGCCGGGAAAGTTCTGTCGGCTGAGCAGGACCAACTAGCACAGCACCTGTGGCTCCTGAGACCCCAGCAGGGCATTTTGGTCCTCCCTGGGCACCCAGGAAGCCTTTTCCTCCTCAGACCCAGCTGTGGGTCTGTGATGCATGGACACCTTAGTTCTGTCACTGTTTGACCCTCAGGACAGCATGGCCGGGTCTGAGCTGAAAATCTGGGATAATCTACTCCAGCTCCCTCTCGGGTCTCTGACCACTATGATGTCCAGGGGCTGGCCAATCCCTGGCTTCTGGGATCCAGAGCCTGCTGCTGACCAGGCTCCCGGCTGCATTTTGCTGGGGAGAAAGGCCCCAAGAGACATGAGACAGTCTGGGCCATGGACGGAAGGGCCGAGCTCCCGCCCGCAGTGTGGTGACCTCCCCAGCCTGACACTCTCCGCCCCACGGAAAACCTCTCCCCGGTGTCTCTGGGCTGCCTCAGCTGGGGCTCTGGCCCACCACTTTCCTGGCCACACCTGTGGAGGTTTCTGGAACATCTGGAAGGCACAGACATCTCCAGCCATATCTGTAGCTGTGGTGTCCATGGCCAGTGTGCAGGCCGTAGCCCATGAGGCCACAGCTAGCTGTTAGTGGAAGCACCATGCCGTCTTCTAGAAAAAGCATCCGCCCCGTCTCCACAGCCAGCTTGGCCTTGAGCCTCGGAGCTTTGGTCAGCTCACACGTCTCACTATCCCCAGGGCCGCCCCCCTGGCTACACTGCTCAGGTGTGGTGTCCCGTGGTGGGTGGGGGGCCCTTTTCACTCCTGTGCTCACCTGTGGATGCACTCTGGTCCCAGGCTGCCCCATTGCCCGCCTGGGCTTACTTGGCTAAGGTGGGGGCAGGTGCCTCAGGTCCACCCGGGAGCACCAGGGAAGGGGCCTTGGGGGGAAGGAAGCGAAGGGCGAGGCTGGGGGCCGCCCAGGGAGGACTTTGGAGTTTCCTGTGCCTTCTGATAAGCTCGGGACGGAGCTACAGCCGAGCCCGGGCTCCAGGAAGACGTGGACTGCAGAGGAGGCCTCATCCCGGGCCAGGGGCCCGGAGCCAGCGCTCAGCCTCGGGAGCAGAGCAGGAGGGGAGGCCAGGCCACAGGCATAAAGACCCTTCTCAGCAGCTCATAGGTCAGCTGGCCCTGGGGGACTGCCTGGACCACGGTGCCTTCCATATGGAAAACTGCTTCCTCTCCTGCCAAGCCGCTGACAGCCACGACCGTCCCGTGGACTCCTCTCCCCACTCCCACTTACTGATCCTCTCATGTCCGTGCAGGACATGAGTGGGCATGAGTGGCATCAGGCCTTGGTTGGTGCCCATCACAAACCCACAGCGGTCACTGAGGGCCCCAAGACCCTCTTGTCCTTGACCAGCTTCCAGCACCTACTTCCCATCTTGTCCCAAAGGGTGGAGGGAGACACGGGCACCACACTGAATCTCACCAGCTGGGCCCCTCCTGTGGGGCCCGTGTCCACTTCTGCCCTGGCGACTAATGCTTTTTGCTGAGTGCTCATGGCAGGGAGCCCAAGCCCACCAGGGCCAGGGTTATCCCCTCACTTGTCACTGATAAAGTCTCACAGACCTTGCAGAGAGAGCTCACCTGATTCATGTGGAGGGATGGGTGATGAGCGAATGGACAGGTGGATGGGTGGGGGAGGAGGCGAGATGGATGATAAGCGGATGGGCAGGTGGATGGGTGGGATGGATGGATGGATGTGGATGGATGGATGGATGGACAGACAGATGATGAATAGATGGGTGGTGAGTTGCGGGGTGGATGGGTAGATGGATAGAAGAGGGAAGAATGATAGGTGATGGGTGAGGGATGGATGATGGATGGATGGATGGATGGATGGATGATGAGTGATGGGTCATGAATGGGGCAGGATGGATGGATGGATGGATGGATGGTTGATAAAGATCCCGTGTATGTTTATGATCCCGATTCCACTGACTTAGAGTCTTGAGAATGAGTCTGAGGCAGAAAACTCCAGCTTAGCAGCTTGGAGTCCCAAGGGCGCCAGCACAGGAAGCACCCAGGGTTGTCGCTCCTATTCCTGAGTTCCGAGACTGCTTTCTGGAGACCTCCAGGGCACGTAGGACAAGGTGTGTCGAGTGTTTTCTGATGTGAGCTCATGTTCTGATTCTGCGCCAGATGGAGACTCTGTGGGTCCAGATCAGCCTCCCTGAGTGCGGATCCCGAGGTTAAACATGGAGATGGTGGAGGGTGTGAGCTAGGCGCTGAGCACTTGGGGTGGGGGTGGGGGGGGTGGGGCGGGCGCTCGGCAGGAACAGCGTTTTCCTTACAGATGACTTGCGGTATAAACAAAGTTTCCAGAACAGGGATCTGGGTACGTGGGACTGAGTGTCCCACCCCGACCCACCCCAACCACCCTGACCCAGTGCCGCCTTCTTGCATGGGAATGTGGGGGTAGGGCAGGAACCGGGTATCTGTCCCCGCACACCATGGGGAATGCATCTTCCTAGAACTTCTGGCCTGGGAGGGGCTCTTTGACTCTGGCTTGTGGCCAACACTGCTCCCTGAGGTCTGGTCACCTTTTCCAGAGAGGAGGAGGCTGGGGGCATTTGATTTCTCACAGAAGGAATTCCCTAATAAAAACCACAGCAGAAGTGCAGATGCAGTGACACAGCAGCTAAGAGAAGAAAGGCGGGTCACCATGGCCTTAGTGACAACAGCTGAAACAACTAAGCCTCTGCTCAGGCCTGACACGGAGAGTGTAGTCACTCAGCTCTCTTCGCGTCTCCTCACACAACGCCCACATCTCACAGCACCCGCATCTCCTCACACAGCACCTACATCTCACACACAGCACCCACGTCTCCTCACACTCAACACCCACATCTCACACACAGCACCCACGTCTCCTCACACTTAGAACCCACATCTCCACACATGGTACCCATGTCTCTTCACACAGTACTGACATTTCCCCACACACAGCATACCTACGTCTCTTCACACAGCACCCACATCCACACACAGCACCCACGTCTCTTCACACTCAGAACCCATATCTCCACACACAGCACCCACAACTCCTCACATAGTACCCATGTCTCTTCACACTGACGTTTTCCCACACACAGCATACCTACATCTCCACACAGCACCCGCATCCACACATAGCACCCACGTCTCCTCACAGCACCCATTTCCTCACACAGCACCCACATCTCACATTAGGCACCCGTGTCTCCTCACACAGCACCCTCATCTCCTCACAGAACCCACATCTCTTCACATCACCCATGTCTCCTCATGCAACACACACGTATCCACACAGCACCCACATTTCCTCAAACATGGCACCTTTGTCTCCTCACACAACACCTATGTCTCCTCACTCACACATAGTACCCACATTTCCTCACACAGCACCCACCCTTCCCTCCCTGCCACCCTGAGGCCGGCTCTGGGCACTCTCCTATGTCCACCCGTGAGTCGTCACAGGAACTGGTTTGTGTCTGGAGCTGGTTTGGATGGTACCCCCTTGGCCTCCCCTGGCTGCCTGGGATGTGCCTTTTCTCTCACCCTCTTCCTGCACCTCCCAAGCATCCATCACCAGGGGCCCTTGGAAGTTCTGGGGTCCTGGTGACTCCATGGACTTCCTGCAAGCCTCTGCCCTCTCTGTGTACCCTCCTCGGCACAGCCCGGAGTGAGTGTGGCAGAGTCCGCGCACGGTATGTCAGGGCTTCGCCGCTCTCGTCCCCGGACCAGCCCTTCCTATCCCTCGCTTCCGCCCATATCAGGTCGGCTGCCAAGGTGTGGTCCTGCCCCCCTGAGGCCCACTGCTGCCTGTGTTGGACCCTGGGTCGAGGCTGAGGCATCAGAATTGGGGGTCCTCACCTGGTCTGGGATGCTGCTGGTGAGGGGGCCGCCTCCTCCCCGCAGGGTGCCCCGTGTCGTGACCCCCCACTCTGTCATCCCCAGGCATGAATGCTGCCGTCCGCGCTGTGGTTCGCATGGGCATCTATGTGGGCGCCAAGGTGTACTTCATCTACGAGGTGAGTCCCCCTCTCTCCGCCCAGGGCGGCTCGGGATCAGTGAGCTCAGGCCGTTATGTGAGCTCGCCCGACCTGTTTGTTTCAAAACGTGACTGGGCTGATGTGGGGCCACACCCAGCGGTGCTCAGGGCTTACTCCTGGCTCTGCTCTGAAGGGTCCCTGTGGCGAGGCTCCCTCTGGCGTGCTGGAAAAGAACCCCACATGACTGTGGGCGAGGGCAGCACCTATGCCTTGGCACTATCTTTCCCCCTCGAAATGAGACGAGTTGAAACCATTCAGCTCAGTGGGCTCAGCCCTGGGAGCTTGGTGCCCATGGCTCTGCGCAACCTCTTCACTCCCACTGCCCAGGCTCCCCCATCAGATGGTCCAGCCTCCACCCTCAATCTGTCCAGCCACCCCCTCACTCTGTCCAGCCTCCCCCCTCACACTGCGGACAGCCCCGCTGCCCTCTCTTGTGGCAGCTGCCCAGTCCCGCCCATTGCTCTCTTCTCCCGTGAATGACTCCTGTTTCTAGAGTCAAGAAGCCTGAGAGTTTATTCCTGGCCTTTCACTTCTGTCCCATTGACCTGCGTGTCTCATTTTATTGCAACACTGTGTTTATTTTTTATATATTTTTATTTGAATCACTGTGAGATACACAGTTACAAAGTTGTTTCTGATTGCATTCAGTCATAGGATGTTCTAACATTCGTCCTTTCACCAGTGCAAATATCCCACCACCTGTGTCCCCGGTTTTCCTCTGGCCCCCCTCCCCCAAGCCTGCCTCTATTGCAGACACTTTTCTTCTCTCTCTTTCTCTCTCTCACTCGCTCTCTTGCTCTCTCACCCTCTCTCTTGCTTGCTCTCTCACTCTCTCACTCGCTCGCTCTTGCTCGCTCACTCCTGCTCTCGCTCACTCATTCTCTCTCGCGCTTTCTCTTTCTCTCTCTCTTGCTCACTCTCTCCTTCGGGCATTGTGGTTTGCTGAGAGGGTATCATGTGTCTTTCTTTATCTCTTATCCAGACTGATCCTTTCCTGCTGTCATGGTCAGTGGGCCCTTCTCTGTCCTAACTGCCCTTCCCCAACCCCCCAGCCACCTTTTGTGGCATGTTTCCAACCAGGGGCCAATCCTCTGGCCCTCGTTTCTACTGCCCTTGGGTACGAGTCTACACATTTTTTTTTATATCCTGCAAATGAGTGTGATACTCTCTGTGTGTCCTTCTCCTTCTGACTCATTTCACTCAGCATGGCTCTCCATGTCCATCTGCGTGGGAGCGAGCTTCAGGACTTCCTGTTTCTGGCGGCTGAGTGTCGCCTTGTGTAGATACGCCATTGCCTCTTTGCCCAGGCGTCTCAGGCCCTCGGGTTGTGTCCAGATTCCGGCTGTTGGGACTCAGGCTGCCATGGGCATGGGGACAAGTGTCTGCAGCACCACAGTTTTATTTCCTGTTACTTTGGAGAAGAGTCTGAAGCCAAGTCCCAGGCGTGTGCCCGCTGTCCACGGTGGCTACAGTGCTGTGACGAGCATTGTGTTCTGCGGCAGTAAGATGGTGCTGGTAGGCTCAGGGTCCCCTAGCAGCCTCAGTGCCTATGCTCCCCTCGCTGGCACATGCCCAGCCTTCTAGAGGGAACACTGATGCGGTCACTCTTGTCTTCAGCGTCAGTCCTGCATCATGCCCAGAGCCGCCAGGCTGTCGCTTCACCTCCTGTGCCCACTGGGTCCTGAGGGCGGGCGCTGGATGGCTGTGCGTGGCTTTGCGGACCCCCACACGCTGCTGTCTGTTCACGGACCACCTCGCTCCGTCCAGCTGTCCAGCAGCTCAGCTGTTCGTCCCTCATGGTCCAGGTGTCCTTATAGCAAGCGACAGAACACTGGGGAGATGCTGGTCAGTGCTTGTGCCATGGCTGTGCCGGTCACAGCCCCCTGGGTACCAGGGCCAACCTCGGGAGCAGCTGCGTCCCTCTTGAAGACTCACGTCTGCCTGCCCACTGGGGGCTCCTGCTGTGCCTTTGCCCTGACCTTCCCTGGCACCCCAGACATGGCCAGCTCTGGTAGCAGGAGCTTAGTCCAGCCAGCAGTGAACAGGCCAGGGTAGAGCGTCTAGCTCCCGAGTTCCCCAGCCAACGCACGCCAGCACCTGCCCTGCCCCAGCCCTCACCCTCTCGATGTACTGACCCTGCTGGCCAGCGTCCCCTGAGTGCCTGAGAGCACGCAAGGGGAAAAGGACCTCTGCGGCTGGGGGCACTCCGCTCATAGCCTGGCTAGATGCTGAGTCTGCCTGGACCCCCATTAGTAGAGCGGGGCTCCATGCTGAGAGCCTGGTTTGGGGGTGCTGTCCTCTCGGGCCTCCCTTCATGGAGGCGGGGCTGGCCAGGAGGCAGCTGCAGGGTCATCAGAGGGACAGGCATGCAGTCGGGGCTACTTCTGGAGGGGGCGCTGAGGTCGCAGAGGCAGGGGCTGCCAGCTCTCACTTGCAGGGCCCCCCGGGAAACGGGGCACAGGAGCACATGGGAGGTCCTGCTGTCCCCATGCTCTCTGGACACTCAGATCCCCCGGGGAGATGATGTAGGGCCAGTACAGGGGTGGGGCAAGGCCAAGAGGGGTTTTGTCCTGGCACCCTGCAGGGCCCCCGAGTGAGCCCTGAGCACTGCTGGGCATCGCCCCAAAGTCAAAACAAAAATGAAAGAAGTAGACTCCCCCCCATATGCCCAAACACATACACACACGCATGCACACATGTGTGTACACACAGGCGCACAAACACACATACACAGCGCATGCACATACATGCATACTCACATACACATGCATGCACACACACGCGCACATACGTACACACATATACATATGCACACGTGCACACCCACACACACACACACATGCACATACGCACATGCACACACACACACACACACACACAAGCTCTTTCTCCCAGCACAGATGTGTGCCCAAATGAGGCGCCAGGCCTTCTCTCTACTCCCTCCCACGGGACCAGCTGTCCACAGTGCCCCAAGCAGTGACAGTGATCTCCCAGCCGGGATGGTTCCGTGGGAAGCTCTGTGGGTGTGGGTGGCCCCCAGCAGGGGGTCGGGTCCCAGGACAGTACCCAGGCGCCTGTGGCACTGCCTCGGATGCGTCTGCTCTGTGGCCGTTCCTTCTTCCCTGGTTTGTAAACCAACATCGCAGCTTTGTCCCCAGCATGTTGCCCGCAGGAGCTCGATACCCGAGGATAGCAGCCCCCAACAGGGAAAAGACACGGGAAGCCAGAGACCGTTCCCGCACACATGGCTCATGCCCACTGTCAGGCACGGGATCCCTCTCCCCGCAGCTCCCTGCAGGGCTGGGTCTCCGCTGTCTTTCGGGGACATTCGCCATATGGCGCAGCCGCCAGGCAAACAGCCAGTCGTTTCCTCAAAGACGGGAATTTCGGATTGCCCAAGAGCCTCCAGTTCTACCCTAATGTATGCACAGGAGCATTAAAGTGTTTACCCCACACGTGGCAGAGCCTGCAGAGCAGCCAGCGGGCAAAGACAGTGCGGATATGCAGCGTGCCTCGTCCACAGGGGAGCGGGAGAGATACCTGCTGCTGCAGCTGAACTTTGCCGACATGCAAAGTGAGAGGATCTGGACGCAAAGCACCTCCTGGCCAGGGTTGGGAGGGCCGCAGGCTGAAGAGGGAGCAGGGCCTTGGAGTGGAGGGGGCCAGCTCACGTCACAGTCTGGGTGGTTCTGTTGGGATAACAAAAAGCATCCTGGCATGTGACCATTGGGAGGGCCGAACAAGCCTGAGTTTGCCACCAGCCGCCAGCCTTCACAGTGGTCGGAACACAGATCGGCTTCCCCCGACACCCGCGTATTTCCAGCAAGTCCGGGGTCTCGGCTGCCTCCTCTCCCTCACAGGCAGCCTGATGGCTCTTCCTGCTGAAACTCTGCCCGCGGTAGAGTCTCACCGCGGCCTCTGTTTCCATAGTTATGTCCGAGTGTATGGCCAGATGGTGATGGGCGCAGTAGGGTTGTCACAGACGGGGTCTGGGCGTCCGCTCCCCAAAGCAGACTCTGAGACCAGGACGTCATTCTTACTCCTCATCACTTGGACACCGGAGAGAGAGCCGGGGTGGGGGGACAGGGCCTGCCTTGCATGCAGCTGACCCTGGTTCCAGCCCGGCACCCCATATGGTCCCCCCTGAGCCTTGCCAGGAGATTCCCGAGCATCGCCAGGTGGGGCCCGTGCTCCCTGCCCCCAATCTGTTGACCTTCCCAGACCTTCCCAGACCATCTGTGGCCTGTGGCACGTCAAACATCTGATTTATGGCCAGGTTCCTTCGCCTGCAGTGTCTGCATTTTCTCTACTACCTTTAGCACTGTTTTGATGGTTTTCCGCCAGATGTGCTCCAGTCCCCAGAGGGAACGTACTTCCCGGCATTGCACAGACCTGACTCCTCCCGGAACGTTTTCTTTCTACACTGAATTGTGTTTTATTCTAGCTTAGGTGCCCTGGTGGCGGTGGTGTGAGCTGTGAGCATTTGTTCTGTGTCCACCCCCGCGCGTCTCATCCGCTGGTCCAACACCCCCACCTTTGTCCTTTGTTTCTCCAGTCTTAGGTTTTCCCTAAGTGACTCATGAGCCTGCTGGGAGGCGAATTCCAGGAGGGATTTGGGAAAGGTCTGGGCAGAGCGGTTATTCACGTGGCCAGCCCCTTGCTCCCAAAATCCTGCTCTGGGCTCAACCCCCGCGGCTCTGCAGAGCTCGCCCTAATTTGGTGCGGCTCTCTGCTGGCAAAGGACAGCCTCAAGCCAAGCTGGTAGTTATTTTTTCAAGGTTTCTGAGCCAGCTCAGGCGCCAATTACAGATGAGTCATTTCCTAGCAGGCCCGCTCTGTGCTCTGCAGAGAGGCAGCAGAATTCTCCTTTCGCTTTTGGAGCCTCCCTGCCGACCTCCACAGCAAGTGCCGAGCTGTTCTTGGACAGTCTGCTCGGACTCCGTGTGGATGCTCCATGTGGACGCTCCTTGTGGACGCTCCGTGTGGACGCTCCGTGTGGACGCAGGGCTCTGGGAATACAGGGGGCGACCCCTGCTCCGGCAGCTGCCTGCTGAGGGGGCCTGTGGTCCCTGGTGCTCTCTGCCTGGCTCCTGACCTTTCCTGGACATTTCCTCCTGCCTGGCCAGCTCGGGTGTAGGGGCTCACAAGTCCCCCTCCACGTGGGGTCACTCGGGCTTGGTGGTCTCGGGCCTGAGGCCACTCTGTGCATGTTTCTCCCCCCCACATCTGGACTCTGCCTTCCTTCACCCCTCCCCCCTCTCAGGTCCACCTGTCACTCCCCTCCCCTGCAGTCCCCCCCCGACCCACGCACGTGGCCCTTCACCCTTGCCCCCCAGGTCTCTCCCCCAAGCCCTGCCCCTCCCCCTTTGTCCCAGCACAGGGAACACTTGTGCCCTGGCATATGCCCTGCCCGATTCTAGGCCACTTGGAGTGGATGGGGCACCTGGTCTTGGCAACTTCCTCCTTCCCTGCTTCCCGCCCCTCCCTCCCTTCTCCTTTGTCTAACAAGATGGGCTTTGTTTCCTCCCCATGCTTGAGATCTGTGTGTGCAGTTTCTCTCCCTCCCTCCCTCCCTCTCTCTCCTTCCCTCTCTCTCTCCCTCCCTCTCTCCCTCCCTCTGTCTCTCCGCCCTCCTTCTCCCTCCCCCTCCCCCTCTGCTTTTCACTATCCCTCCAGTCCCAGGGGCTGTGTCTCCCACCCTGTTTGTCCCCCACCCCGAGATTTTGTCCTTTATGAGGCCTTTGTGAATGGAATTTTCCCCTTGATTTCTCCCTTACAAGCAGCACGTTCTGTCTCCTGTGCTCTGTCCTCCTGTTTTGTCCCTTGTACCCTGTCACCGGCTCTGTCCCCTGGCTCAGAGGGGCCACAGGGAGGAGTTGGCTGGCTGCACTGAGGTGAACAGAAGCTACCCGGGGTGGGTGGGGGACATCATAGGTGCCCTCGGCTGGCTCGAAGGGTCACTTGAGTGAAAGGTCAGGAGCTTCTCCAGGGACACACTCAGCTGCGCCTGCGAGTGCCAGGCTTGGGCCGTGCTGCCGGGTCTGCGACCTCTCCTAGCTCATCTCTGGCGTGTCTGAGCTGGACCCGGGTCCCCCCTGCAGGGCTACGAAGGCATGGTGGCCGGCGGTAGCAACATCGTGGAGGCCAACTGGGAGAGTGTCTCAAGCATCCTGCAGGTGGTGAGTGCGGGCCCCAGAATCCCTAGCGTGGGCAGGCGCCTGCCTGGGCTGGAGGCCGGCTGGGGACAGGGCTCACTCCTCACCTCCTTGGTATGCGCAGGGCAGTGTGAGCTAATTAGCACCCAAGGCGGATGTGGCTGGCTGGATGTGGCTGGCTTGGAGTCTGAGCAGGCAGTTGGGCTCGGCCTGTGGGCCCCCACCCCCAGCTGAGGGCCGGAAGCGCCTGCACTGGGTCAGCCCTTGTGGGGGCGCCTTCTGCGGGGCTCAGGCTTTGTGGGCTGTTTGGTTTGGGGTTCAGATCCTGAGCTTAGGGCTCCTCCAGATCTGGCCCCCCTGAGCTGCCAGGCCTCCCGCTGCAGGCTCGTGCCCCCACCCGCGGGGGCCACGCGACAGTGAGAGGGACATGTTCATAGGGAAGGCCAGGGACACGGGAAGGGGGCAGGACCATGGTGGACACTCACCACAGGTCACAGATACCGGGGCCACGGGAAAGGGACCTCAGAGGGCATCTCAGAAGGACCCTGCAGGCATCAGCCCTTATGGCTCTGTGGAAGGAGCCCCAGGACAGCGGGTGGGAGGCTGGGCACTGCTGCCCACCCCATCTCCCAGGAGCCCCGGGAGCGGGCAGCGCCGGCCCCTGAACAGTCCTGTCCCCCGCAGGGTGGCACCATCATCGGCAGTGCCCGCTGCAAGGCCTTCCGCACCCGCGATGGCCGCCTCACCGCGGCCCTCAACCTGGTGCGCTGCGGCATCACCAACCTGTGCGTGATCGGCGGCGACGGCAGCCTCACGGGCGCCAACATCTTCCGCCAGGAGTGGGGCGGGCTGTTGCAGGAGCTGCTGCGCAAAGGTGGCACCTGCCTCCCCCTGCCCGCCCCATGCCCTCGTCCCATCCTGGTCCCACCCCCCGTCCCACCCCCACCTCCCCCACATCCCACCCCTCACCCCATCCCACCCCCCACCTCCCTCGTCTCATCCCCCACCTCCTCCCATCCCACCCCTTGCCCCGTCCCACCCCTCACCCGGCCCATCCCTCGCCCGTCCCCAGCCTGGCCCCTCAGTCCCACCCCCTGCCCCCCACTGATCCTTGCTCCACTCGCAGGTGAGCTGCAGGAGGAGGACGTGCGCAGGTGCGCCCACCTCAACGTGGTGGGCATGGTGGGCTCCATCGACAATGACTTCTGCGGCACGGACATGACTATCGGCACGGACTCGGCGCTACACCGCATCATGGAGGTGGTGGATGCCATCATGACCACAGCGCAGAGGTGCGGGGGGTGGGGGGGATGGGGACGGGGTAGGGGTAGGCGGGCCTCTTGAGCTCGGCTGACATGCTGTCTCTCACAGCCACCAGAGGACCTTCGTGCTGGAGGTGATGGGGCGTCACTGCGGGTACGTGGGGCACCGAGGGCAGGGAGATGGGGGTGCCCGCACCCGCGCTGACCATAGCCCCGCACAGGTACTTGGCCCTGGTGAGCGCACTGGCCTGCGGGGCCGACTGGGTGTTCCTCCCAGAGGCACCGCCCTCCGGGCAGTGGCAGGACAACCTGTGTGAGAAGCTCTCCGAGGTGAGTGTCTGCACTGCAGGAACATGAGGATGCAGGGACCCAAGGGACCCAGGATGCAGAGCTCAGGCGCTCAACCCTGCTCTGCTCTCCTCACGCTCTGAGTGCCCTGCACACGCCCCCTGAGGTCCCTCCTCGCCCATGCTGGGCGGCATCCCGTGAACACCTCCTGGTCCAGGCTGCCCTCAAGGGCGGTGAGTGACCCCCCAGCCATCCTTCGTCCCAAGTAGCAGTGGCCTTCAGCCACGGGAGGTCAGAGAATCCCGGCTTCACTGGGGGGTGCTCAGGACCTGCATGGGGTACCAGAATGTCCAGTGGGGATGTCAAGGGGCCATTGCCCCTGTGACTGCCCAGAACTGTCTTCAGGGCTCCCAGGGTCCAGTGCCTTCAGACAGAGTGATCAGAGGCCCCCCAGACGTGTGGGGCCCCCAGTAGCACTGGCAGTGCTTGAAGAAGGGGTGGGGAGTGAAGGGCTTGTGAGCCGGGTCTCAGGACCACCATGTGGGCATAGCAGTGGCCATGCTGGTCATTTCCGTGGCTGCTGTGGTGATAGCGTGGCCTGAACAGTGTGGTGTGGCTGGCATGGGTGGTGTAGTGTGGGCAGTGTAGTGTGGCTGAGCGACTGACGTGGGTGCCACGTCTCGTGCTGCCAGTCCGTGGCACCCCAATAAGTTGGGCCTGGTCTTGTGCAGCCCCGAGGCTGGGAGATGCTCCCCAGGGCAGTCCTGAACCCCACATGTCAGAGTGGGAGGTGGAAAAGCCCGATGGGGCCCCAGAACTGCTGGGTCACTGGCCCTGCCACTAGCTCTTGCTCAGCACAGTGACCTCTCAGGAGACCAGGCCCCGTGGTGGCAGCTGCTGTGTGCCCTAGGGCTTTGCCTGGTGCAGAAGCGGCCACCCTCTTACCTCCTGAAAGGTGGAACCCCTCTGCTCCCAGATGCACCTTCTCCCAGCTCACAGCACTGAGCTGAGTTCTCGAACGCTCCGTGACTTAGCAGAGCCAGGACCATGACCCTCCCTCCCCAGCCATTCTCATGAGCTGCTGGCCCCCACAGCCTCCTTTCAGGAGGTGTTGAGGGACCCCAGGAAGGTCTGGGGGCTCTGGGTGGGTTTCTGAGCCCGGTTCCTACTTCTATGTCCAGAGGGCCAGAGCGTTCGGGGGTCTGAGAGGGAACCCCCAGTCTGACTCAGCATAGCTGGCACCACAGGTCAAAGGGCTGATGCTTGGTGCCGGCCTCGGCAGAGGGGTCCTTGGCCCCTCGTGCCCTTCCCTGCCCTGCACCAGGCCTGAGACCTGTGCTGAAGCCAGCCTAGCCGAGCTCGAAGATTCCCGTTGTTCTCCCAGAACCGCGCCCGAAAAAAGAGGCTGAACATCATCATCGTGGCCGAAGGCGCCGTGGACAGCATGAACAAGCCCATCACATCCGAACAGATCAAGGAGGTGGGCAGCGCCCCTTGGCGCCTCGCTGCTACGGTTCGGGGTTTGCAGGAGGCTCCTGCAGTCCTGCCTTCTGTGAGGCCCAACCCCCCAGGTGGGGGAAGCATGAGGGCATTGTGTTCTAGAAAGTTCCAGCTCGGGTGCCAGGAGGACAGGCCTGGGCGGGCATCGGCCTCCCACCTCGAGTCATCCTTTCCACCCGCTGCTGCCTCAGGCATGCGGGTGGGTCCGCTGGAGCGACTTGGCCTCATTGCCACCCTGAATACTTTTTCCGTGGGCCCAGCGGTGCCTGTGGGTGAGCGTCTCCCTGTGCCCTGTGCTCGGGCGGGCCTGTGCTGGCAGTGCCAGCCACTGGGAACGAGACACTTCATGCCATCAGGCCAAGTCCTGGCAGAGGACGTTGGGACCTGCCCCCCGCACCCTTCCAGGGGCCCAGAAAGACAGCCGGTGCCCGCGGCGGGGGGGTCCGAGCTCAGGGGAGACATTAGGCAGGCAGAGATTAGAGGCGGAATCCCAGTGTTGGGACGTGGTTCTCTGCTCCCCTCCCCACTTCTGGCTGCCATTCCCTGCTGGTCACTCACCCTTACTTCCCTGCAGCTCGTGGTGTCCCAGCTGGGCTACGACACGCGGGTGACCATCCTAGGTCACGTGCAGAGAGGCGGGACCCCCTCGGCCTTTGACAGGATTCTGGTGAGAGGCACCCTTCCCCAAACAGGACGTTGGGGGCAGGGCTGGGAGCCCCACCTTGGGAGCCCTCCAGGGCACGGCGAGGAGGGCTCAGGCCCAAGATGGTGGAGGGGGGGTTTGTAGACCAGGTGGAGGAGGCTTGGCCCCTCCCCAAACGCTGCGTCTGACAGGCTGCCCGTGTCCCTTGCAGGCCAGTCGCATGGGTGTGGAGGCTGTGGTCGCCCTCCTGCAGGCCACCCCGGAGACCCCGCCCTGTGTGGTGTCACTGTGCGGGAACCAGGCCGTGCGCCTGCCTTTGATGGAGTGTGTGAAGATGGTGAGCCCCACCGCTCCCCATCCACGCCCCTTCATGCCACTCCCCTCTCCCATGGATGCATGCCAATGCTGAGTATGTGTGTGTGTGCGCCTGCGGGTGCGCAAATGATCAGCCCTACCACACCCCTTCCACACCCCTTCATACCACTCCCCTTCCCCATGGATGCATGCAGATGCTGAGTGAGTGTGTGTGTGTGTGTGTGTGTGTGTGTGTGTGTGTGTGTGTGTGCAGATGCTGAACCCCGCCCTCCCCCTGGTGGGATGTCTTGCACAGTGAGCAGAGGGGAGGCCTGCACTGAGGCTGGTGTGGGTGGGTGTGCTCTGGGCCCCCTGGCCCGCTGACACTCGGGGTCCGCAGACCCAGGAGGTGCAGAAGGCCATGGACGAAAAAAGGTTTAACGACGCCGTGAAGTTCCGCGGAAAGTGAGTGTGGGTGGACCCTGGGGTGGCCGAGGGCCCCGGCAGCTGCAGCTGGGGCAGGGAAGACGCTCACCCAGAGAGAGGCTGAGCGGCACCCACCGCCTTCCCGGCAGGAGCTTTGAGAACAACCTCAACACCTACAAGCGGTTGGCCATTAAGCTGCCCGACTCCCAGATCTCCAAGGTAGGCGGCGTGGACAGCACCTGGCCGGTGGGCCGTGGCACCCAGGCGGACCCCAGTGACCACCCCTGACCCCCTCCGCAGACCCACTTCAATGTAGCTGTGACCAACGTGGGCGCACCAGCCGCGGGCATGAACGCTGCTGTGCGCTCGGCCGTGCGCATGGGCATTGCTGATGGGCACCGCATGCTGGCCGTCACCGACGGCTTTGAGGGCCTCGCCAAGGGCCAGGTACAGGGGCAGGGCCTCCTTGCGGGGGGGGGGGAGGGGGCGAGGGGGCCTCCTGTGTCCTGGCAGGTCCACCTCACCCTGGTTCCCCGGCTCTTAGGTCTGAGCTGAGCTGGGGTAGAGCAGGGAGAGCTCCAGGGGTTTCTGAGACCTGTGAGGAGGCCATTCTGCTGCCCCTGGCAGCTCAAGACTCGGGGCTGGGATCTGCAGGGCCCCCCAACCAGGTTGGGGGGGCTCCTTGGGGCCCGGCCCCCCCAGGGTGTCCCACGTTCCCTTGGCCCAGTGTAGGGAGCGGGTGCAGAGGGCACACCCCAGGGCCTGGCTGGGTGCTGAGGTCAGGAACGGTCCCGAGCAGAGCCAAGCCAGGACCACTGGCCTCTGCAGTCCGTTTTCTAGAAGTTTCCTCCTCACCCAGGGAAACGCTGCTGGAACTGCGGCTCCCCCTGGTGGACACAATGCAGTAGAGGCCAGGCCTCCTGGCTGCGTCCCAGGGAGGCCTGGTCTTAGCTCTAGTCTCACTGCTCCTAGATCCAAGAGATCGGCTGGGGTGATGTTGGCGGCTGGACCGGCCAAGGAGGCTCCTTGCTGGGGACCAAAAGGTGAGTCCCTTGGCACTGCACCCAGGCCAGCGGGCATGGGATGGTGCTTTTGGTGGGTCCATGGCAGGCTCAGATGGCCACGGACGGGGTGGGCAGAGCCAACAGAGAAAGCAGAGGCGGCTTCCAGGCCCTGAGCCTGCACCACATCCCGTGACCTGGCGTGGCCTTGAGTGACCTTGCATGACCTCAGGTGGCCATGGATGACCCTAGGTCACCCTGCATGGCCTTGCATGACCTCAGGTGACCCTGGGTCACCCCACATTGCCTCATATGACCTCACATGGCCTCACGTGACCTCAGTGGGTGCCTGTGACCTAGTGAGTCCTTGGGTGACTATGCATGGCCTTGGGTGTCCTTGTATGACCTCAGCTGACCTCATGTGGGGCTGTGCTGGCAGGAAGCTTCCCGGGAAGAACCTGGAGGAGATTGCAGAGCAGATGCGTGCGCATTCCATCAATGCACTCCTGGTCATCGGGGGCTTCGAGGTACGTGGCTGTCCCTCCCTGGCCTCCTGGGGCGCTCCTGTGCACACTTGCTGCAGCCCTTGAAGGGGGTGATGGGGACGGAGCTCAGGGCCCATGACTGGCACAGCCTGGGGGTTCTGGGAGCACAGGCCTTGTCCCCACAGCCCACGCGCACGCTCACCTTCCTCAGGGCTACCTGGGGCTGCTGGAGCTGTCGGCGGCCCGTGACCGCTTCCCCGAGTTCCGCATCCCCATGGTGATGGTCCCCGCCACCGTCTCCAACAATGTGCCTGGCTCTGACTTCAGCATTGGCTCAGACACAGCCCTGAACACCATCACCGACGTGAGTGTGTGGGCACTGGCCCCTGAACCTGAAGTGGGGTCGCCACAGCCTACCGTGGCCATGGCACTTTAAGGCTTGTCGCGTGCATTTGTTTGTGGCTTGGGTGGAAGGAGAGACCAAGCGCCGTGAGGGGGAGGGTCTGCAGCAGGGCCCTTGGTGGGCCAGGTGCTGAATGTCTTCACCGGGAAAGGTGCCAGGTCTCACGCCCAGAGTGCTGTCCAAGAGCAATCACGGCCCAGCCGGCCGCCCCGTCACTGCCCTTCCCCTGGCTTCGGTCCACACTCTCCGCTCACAGGGTCTGCTTGTGCCTGGGGGCTCCTGAATGCGGCCTGTGTCCGGCCCTGGCGCCCGAGGCTCGCGCTGCTTCGCTGCTTCTCCCTTCCTGGAATTGAGTGCTCCTGCTAGCGTGGGTGATGGGAACCGGAAACGCTCACCTCCCTGCTCTCCACCCTGCTTCTAACTGTCGCTTTCTTCCGGAAAAGCCCGTGCCCTGCTGCCCTGCTGTGCCCGCTGCTGTCTGCCCACTGCCCGGCCCTCCTGCTCGGCCTCCCCTCCTGGCACTCCTGCCTCTCAGCCCCACCATGCTTCTGCTCTGGCTGCGCTTGTCCTGGGCATGCTGGGGAGGGGACAGCCGGGCACCGGGTGGCCAGCGCGTCTCTGCCCATCATGGACATTAACACACACAACTGTGCCTGTGGGACGTTCACCTGACAGGAAGCCAAGGGACTGACCCCAGGACCCCCAGCAGGTCCCGAGCCTGGGGAGTTGAGCTGGTTCCTGGAGGGCTCCTGGGCGGGGGTGCTGTGGCTCTGGACTGGGCCTGCCGCTGCTCTGGGCTCTGGCCTTTTGGTGGCCAGGTCTGGATTTGGGGGAGCTGGGTGATCTGCAGAGGAAAGTGGATGCATGAAAGGGGGAGCCTCGGAGTGCATTGCTGGCCACGTCCCTCTAGGGGCTGGGCAGGCAGCCTCTCCCCACCACTGCCCTTCCCAGTGGGCCCAGGGCTCAGCTGAGGTCATGGATACAGCTCTGGGCCTGATCCTGCCACCCTCCAGGCACACTAAAGGGTGGGGCCAGCACATACGTTTGCCCCTGAGGGTCTCTGAAGGTCAGGTGCTGGGTGGAGTCACCCTGGATCACCTGGCATGTTACCTCTGACCCCTGCACCCCCAGTTCAGAGGCACACAAACCTGGGGCCTGCTCTTGGGACACAGCGCGGCTGGGGTCAGGTCATGCCTGATCCAGGTCCCTGCGCTGGCCCGTGTCCATGCCACCAGTCTGGAGACCGAGGGCACTCCATGCCTGCCCTCCCACACCTACCCAGCTGGGGGGGGGGGGGGTGGGCGGGGGTCCTGCCCACAGGTTGTGGGGGGGCGTGGGACCCTGACAGTTAGTATGCCAAGCGACGATGCCTCCCTCCACCAGACCTGCGACAGCATCAAGCAGTCAGCCAGCGGGACCAAACGGCGCGTCTTCATCATTGAGACTATGGGGGGCTACTGCGGCTACCTGGCCAACATGGGGGCACTGGCTGCGGGGGCTGACGCCGCCTACATCTTTGAGGAGCCCTTTGACATCCGAGACCTGCAGGTGGGCTGGCTGGGGGGCTGCCAGGGTGAAGTGGGAGGTGGGGGTAGAGGCTTTCTGGTGGGACTGAGGGTTCTGGGAGGTTGTGGGCCCCCGTGACCCAGCCCGCTCTTCCAGGCCAACGTGCAGCACCTGCGGGAGAAGATGAAGACCACCATCCAGCGTGGCCTGGTGCTCAGGTGGGCGGCCACCCGCGGGCCTGTGCTGGGGGGTGTGGGGGCTCGGGGCTAGCCTGGTGCCGCCATCGTTGCAGGAACGAGAGCTGCAGCCAGAACTACTCCATTGACTTCATCCACCAGCTGTACTCGGAGGAGGGCAAGGGCGTGTTCGACTGCCGCAAGAACGTGCTGGGTCACATGCAGCAGGTGGGCTGACGCGGGGTCCCTCACCATGCCTGCACCCCTGCCACTCAGGAACCCCCCGAGACTCAATCGGGTGGAAGGTCTGCAGCCCATGGTCCTGGAAGCCGGTGACTGGCGCTGGGGCAGGGGCGGCTCTGCAGGGTGTGGCTGGGGGCAGCTGAGTCCCATCTCCTGCAGGGTGGGGCACCCTCCCCCTTTGACCGGAACTTCGGGACCAAGATCTCTGCCAGCGCCATGAGCTGGATCACCCAGAAGCTGCAGATGAAAGGTGAGGGGGGGTCCCAGAACCTGCAGGGGTGCTCAGGGTTGGGGCTCAGGGTTGAATAAGATGGAAAGTGGGAGGTGCAGACAGTGCCCCGAGCTGGGACAGGACGGCAGGAAGGTAGCCCCCTGCGTGTGTGTGTGTGTGAGCCAGGGCAGGAAGGCAGCCTCCTGAATCCTCTGTGTGTGTGTGTGTGTGTGTATGAGAGCCAGGGCAGGAAGGCAGCCTCCTGAATCCTGTGTGTGTGTGTGTGTGTGTGTGTGTGTGTGTGTGTGTATGAGAGCCAGGGCAGGAAGGCACCCTCCTGCCTGGTGTATGTGTGTTGGGCTGGTGCTGGCTCCCTGCTCGCCCAGCTCCACCCTGAGTCCACTTTTTGCCCGGGGACAGGACACAAGTTTGACACTGATGACTCCATCTGCGTGCTGGGGATAAACAAACGGAACATCCTCTTCCAGCCTGTGGAGCAGCTGAAGAAGGAGACTGACTTTGAGTGCGTGAGGGGGTCTGGTGGGCGGGGCAGGGGCGGACAGTGTGTGTGTGGGGGGAGGCAGCAGTGGGCGGGGCTGGCCAGGAGTGGGCAGGGGTGGCAGGAGGGGCCAGGGTTCTCCCCTCACCCACCTGGCCCCCGCAGGCACAGGATCCCCAAGGAGCAGTGGTGGCTCAAGCTGCGGCCCCTCATGAAGATCCTGGCCAAGTATGAGGCCAGCCTGGAGGTGTCGGAGTACATGCAGTTGGAGCATCTGCACCCGAATGGCCAGGACGAGCCTGCCGCCATCTGACCCTGCTGCACCTCTGCTGCCGCCCTCTGACCCTGCCCGTTTTCTAGCACCTAAGTTATTTTTCTGCACTTTATGTGTTGTTGACCTCTGAACCTGATCACAGCCCACCCCCCTCTCCCGCATCTGTGCCACCGCCACGGAATAAACGTACACTTGCTCCCTATGTGTACTAGCTCCCTCCTGCTGTGTCCCCTCAAGAGCCCAGGAGGCGCCTTCAGGGCCTGCACAGCTGTGTGTGTCTGTGTGTCTTTGTGTCTGCGTATGCGTCTGTGTGTATCTGTGTGTGTGTCTGTGTGTGCATCTGTGTGTGCGCCTGTGTGTGCATCTGTGTGTCTGTGTGTTTTTGTGTGTCTGTATGTGCATCTGTGTGTCTGTATGTCTTTGTGTGTGTGTCTGTGTGTGCGCCTGTGTGTGTGTCTGTGTGTGTGGGGGCCACACCCGCACTCAGTCACTCTGGGCTCCATCACTCCTGGCAGTGCTCTGGGAATCACATGGTGCCAGGCGAATACCCTCCCCACTGTACCAGCAGGTCAGCTCCTACCCAGCTTTGGTGCAAACCTGGGCAGCGCCCCCGAGAACAGGCTGGCGGAGGACCACCCAGGGCAGATGGGCAGCAACACGCATTGCTGGCACTGATGCACCACACGAAAGCCCCATCAGTGCAGCTGCTGTTTATTCTCTCATTCATAATAAACAGCCGACGGGTGAGCATGGAGCAGCCATGAGCGCCCAGAGTTCCATGATTCATAGGCCGGCTGTTCTGTGCGTGATGTGCTCCTTTCTGCCCTCCTTCTGGGACCCACAGACACACTGGTCTCTGCAGCTCCACCTGTGCTATTTGATGACCCAGGATGGGTCCTTGGCCAGCTTGGGGTTCTCAGGCCCGAGGATGGCCAGGCTGTGCACACGCTTGCCCACGCCCAGGTACCTGCAGGGAAGGGGCATGGTCAGATGGGGCATGCTCAGATGGCCCTTGGGCTGGGCTGGGCTGAGGCGTGCGTGGAAGGGCGCGGAGACTCACTTGCTGCTGACATGGACCAGACTCTCGTGGGAGACGGCAAAGAGCTGCTCACGGTGGGTCTGCTTCATGGCATCCGACAGCCCGTACAGGAAGTGGTCCATGCCTGCAGCCAGAGGGACCCTCAGTGGCCATGCCCCGGGGCAGGAGCCAAACGGGAAGCTAAGTCAGCAGGCTGGTGGAGCAGGCCCCCCACGCCGCCCCCACACCTTTGTCGGAAGGGGCCACGGGCGCATCCACAGCCGAGAAGACGGAGAGCTTGGCCTCCTCGATGTCTTGCTGGGAGAAGCGCCCAGCCTTGGCCCAGTCCACGGCCTTCGCAAAGCTCTGCAGCGTCTCAGTGGAGTGGGGGTCCCTGGGAGGGGAGGGCCAGCAGCAGCAGGGGGATAAGAGGCTCCTGCACTGGACCCCACAGAGCTGTGGGAAGGGCCCCCATGGCAGAGGTGGGACACATCAGGGGGGCTCACCCTCCCCCCGACAGTGTGAAGGTGCCCCCACACACATATGTGTAGAGCGAAGGTCCTGTCCTGCTCACCTGTGTAAGGTGAAGGTCCCACCCTTCACACGTATGAGGGTGAAGGCCCTACCCTCACCTGTATGAGTAGAGTGTAAAGATGCCGCCGTGACTGAGCTTGGCCCCACCTCCGTAGGCACCGCCCTTCTCCCGGATCTCTGTGTGCAGGAACTTGGATGTCATCAGGCGCGCGAGGATCTTCAGACTGGAAAATGCCAAGAGATGTTTGGGGAGACCCAACAGGGCCACCACCAGGGTGCAGCCTCACACAGGCCGCGCAGGGTGGCGATGTGTGGGGACAGGCCTGGCTCCCTGTTCAGCCCCTGACAACGGGACCCAGCAGAGGACATTGTGTCCTGAGCCACAGTGGAAGGTTCTGGAACGCTTGGATCCTACCCCACTGGGCACCGTCGTAATGGACTCCCAGTGTCGGACTGGGAGGGACGGGGGTGGCCGCAGACCCCCAAGCGTGTTTCTACTTAGAAAAGGGATTCTGGGGCTGCAGAAACAGCGTGCTGGGTAAGGATGCTCGCCTTGCATGCAGCCTCTTGGACTGGATTCCCTTCACCCAATAGGATCCCCCGCCAGGAGTGATCCCTAATCATTGCCAGATGTAGCCCCAAAACCAGAGAAGAAAACTGATCCATGTAAAAAACATAAAAAACACGTGTGGGCCCTGGCTCTGGGCTCCACTTCGGGCCACACCTGGCATGGTCGGGGTCCATATACGGAGCCGTTCTCACGCTCTCGCCCACGTAGTTGACAGGGAAGGGCAGCACAAAGTGTGTCTTCATCTGGCAGGGTTTGAAACTGGGGTCCTGCAGGGAAGGTAGACGTCAGCAGGGCACAGAGTGTGGGCAGGCCGGACCTGGGCACTGCTCACTCACCGTCACCAGCTTCCTGACGATCTGGGCACCCCCGGCGTGTGCGCTCCCACCGGCTCCTCTGGGCGACGGTTTCTGAAAGAGTGTTTCCGAGAGACTCACCAGAAACACCCCGGATAGGACCTTCCACACGCCTGAAGTCACAGGCTGTGGCCCAGGTGCATGCCAGGAGACTCCCCGCAGGGCGGGCCCCAGACCAAGTGATCCTCGCGGGCTTCTGCAGAAATGGGTGCCAGCTCCCCAACTCTAGCCCAGTGTCCTTTGGGTTCCTGCCCAGGGACTAGAGTCCCAAGGACAGCACAGCTAAGTGGGCTTTGGACTTCCCACAGCCACTGGGCACGGCCGTGTGGTCCCAGAGGCCCCCGTGCTCACCTCCACCAGATGCGGGCGGGCTGCAGACTTCCGATCCCGCCGGCTCCGCCCCAGGCCCCGGAGAAAGGTCTCTACTGCCTTCGCCGTTTGCGGCAGCTGCTGTGGAGCTGCATTCACGGAGCACCTGTGCACGAGCAAGCCCGTGATACTAAGGCCTCAGCTGCCATGTCCCTACGCTTACCTGCAACCCCCAGATGCCACAGGAGTACCCAGGGCCACTGGCTACCACCTCAGACGCCCCCTCCCCACCCCAGCACACCCCCTCCTCTCCCCCATCCCTGCAGTGCACCACCCCCCCACCTCATGTCCTCGCCGCTCAGCAGGTGCTTCTGGATGCGTGGGAGCTTCTTCAGCACGGGCCGCACGTCCGCCATTTCCGCCACCTTCTTCATCAGCCTCACCTGGACCCAGGGAGCCCCGGCAGGTCCTGTTTAGTCCCTGCAGGGTGGGCAAGCCCCCAGGACCCCCGAGCCTTGGGACACACATCACCTGGTCCATGCCACCAAAGGTCTCCCGCAGGTCCCCGGCGGGTGTCAGTGTCCTGCTTGCCCGGAGGGATGCATAGAGGTGGCCAGAGTCGGGGACACCGCTGGCCAGGTCCTGCGCCGCCATCTTCACCAGCACACGGAAGCGCTCCTCCTCCTCAAAGCAGGGGCTGTGGGCACCGACCAGGGAGAGAGCCTGGGTCAGCCACACCCCAAGAGCCCAGGTGTCCCCACCCACAAGGACACTGCAGGCGGGCTGGGAAGGCCCCGAGCCTGGGCCCACTCACTTGTTGAAGATCTCAGCCCAGAGGTGCATCATGTCCGGCAGGTTGCGCTCCAGGCAGTGGGAGGAGAAGAGAACGCCCTGGATATAGGGCACAGGGTGGGTGAGGGGTCAGGGCTAGGCACAGGGTGGACGTGGGAGGGGTTGGTGCTGCCCAGGTGGGCGTGAGGGGTACCTGCTCATAGGAGTCGAGGTTCGAGTCATCGGGGAGCACGTGGGGGGACACGGACATGCCCCCTGTCTTCAGCTCGATCTGCTGTGCTTGCTGTCGATAGTCGAGAAGGCCACAGCCCAGCCTGCAGCCAGGGTCACATCAGCCAGGCCCCACAGCCATGCTGGGCAGCGCAGCAGACAGCGGCCCCGCTGCGCCCCTCCACCCCCCGCGCCCCAAGCCCCCCGGCCATACTTGGTGAGTGTGCGGCAGAAGAGCGGCACATAGGCCCGCAGCTCCTCGGGCAGGGAGTTGAGGCTGGAGAAGGCCCGGAAGTAGACGACGCCATTGGTGGGCTGCGGGCAGTACTGCACAGGCGTGTCTCCCACTGCGGAGGGACAGGAAGGGGTAGGGGTCGGCGCCACAACCACCCATCATCCCTGCTGGGCCCTGGGGACGTCAGGACCCGTCACGGGACACACTGTGACCAAAGTCTGCCATGCTACCTCATGGCTGCTCAGGAACCCAGGAAACCGGCCTTCGCTGCTTTGTTTGCTTTTGTTTGGGGCACACCTGGCGGGAGCCAGGGAACCATACAGGGAGCCGAGAGCCAAGGCTGGCCCCAGGTGGGGCAAAGGCCCCTGCCCGCCCCCGCAGGCCACCAGCAAATCTTGCTCCCTGACTGCCCTGGCGGCCCCCACCCCAGTCACCTGCCCTTGCAGCGGCATGTACCTCTGAAACCTGCCGGAGCTGGTGCAGCCCTGACACCATCTCCATACACCCTCAGACCAACAGAGTTCCAGAGAGGGGAAGCAACCCCTGCTGGTGACTCAGCACAGGACAGGACAGATGGGCGCAGACACAGGTCGCGGCCCATGGTGACCGGCCCAAGCTGGGGGAGCTGATGCAGGCCTGGAGCCCTCAGGGCCAGCTCAGGCCTTTGAGCCCCAGTGCCCTTGCTCAGCCCACATCTCCAACGAGCAGAGCCGACAACAGATCTGAAGACTGGAACTGAGCTGCTCAGTGCTCTCCTGGGTGCCCCTTCCTGGCAGCACTTCTCTGCCCGCAGCTGCACAGGGGGCACTGGGCCGTGGTGCCTGCCCTTGTGTGAGGTGGCCCCATGATGCCCAAACCCTCAGGTTCTAGAAAGTCAAGCTCAGCAGCAGAGTGATGCATCCGGTGTGAGCAATAGCCAGAGAACCCTGGAGCCAAGGAGTCAGGGTGGGCCTGGGCAGCACAGGCTAGTGGGCACCCTGGCACTGGCCCAGGCGGTTGGACTCACCGGCCAGAGCTACCTGCACCTCGGTGCACGGAAGCGTGGGCGCGATGTCCGACACTTTGAGAGCAGGGAGACAGGAGGCATCCTGGGGTTCACTCTGCTCCTTCTGCAGGATCAAACCTGCAGGATCAAACACAGTACATGAAGCCGACCAGGGCAGCACTCACCGAGTCCTCACGTGCTCCTGGCCCCCAGCACTGCCCTCGCTTCTGTCCTCTCCCGAGTCCCAAGAAAGTCCTGGTGAGTGCGGCTGCTCAGGGACCTGGTAGCCCCGTGACCCCGGGTCTGGCAGCACTAATGGTGCAGTGGGGACCATGCAGTCCCTCACCTCCGCTGAACCCACATGCTGGAGGAGCCACGCAGCTCTGACCTGACTTCTCAGTGTAGGCACATGGGAGGTGACTGGCCAGCCCCCATGCCCACCACCACTCAGGGGCCTCCCTTCATCTCTAGTTATGAACCCCCAGTCTTCTCGGCAGCCTTGGGCACCTCCCTTCTGACTGAGGCTGCAGATACTTCTAGCACTTCCTGTGCCCCCACTTCCCCAGCTCCTTCCTAGAGCTTCTAGAAATGCCCCCAAGAGCTTCTTCACAGTCCCCATACACAAGGGGTCCTCTCCCTTTCCTGTACTGTAGCGTGATCGTCCACACTGCAGGCCAATTCCCTCCCTGCTCCCATCAGGGCTGTTATCTACACTGCAGGCTGAGTCTCCTCTGGCTGTTCCCATCAGGGTTGACTGTCTACACTGCAGGCTGAGTCCACTTGTGTACAGGCTGGGAATCTGGAGACAGAGCAGGCCTCTTGGTGGTCAAGGCCCCACAGCTGTTCCAAACTCAGATGGGGTCCTTCTATAGCCACAACTGGCGGCTTTAGAAACCCAGGGGGGGTTGGAGCGATAGCACAGCGGGTAGGGCGTTTGCCTTACACACGGCCGACCCAAGTTCAATTCCCAGCATCATCCCACATGGTCCCCTGAGCACCGCCAGGAGTAATTCCTGAGTGCAAAGCCAGGAGTAACCCCTGCGCATTGCCAGGTGTGACCCAAAAAGAAAAAAAAAAAAAAAAAGAAAGAAAGAAAGAAACCAGGAGGGTAGCAGCTCCCCATGCTCACACAACACAGGCCTGTGCACTGCTTAGCCCAATGTCCACTGTGGGAAGGGCTCACTCTGCTCTGCTCTGTGGTAGAGGCCAGGACTAAGGAAAGATAACCAGCAAGGCTCACCTGGCCACTGTCTGCTCCATGTCCCCTCCCTGGGGTGGGTCCCCTGCCCCATGTTCCCTCCCAGGTGAGTGCCCTGCTCCATGTCCCCTCCCAGGAGTGGGTCCCCTGTCCCGTGTTCCCTCCTGGAGATGAGCCCCCTGCTGGTGCTAGCACATGGGCACAGGAGCCCAGGATGCATGAGGCCTGCAGCATTAGGGTCTGTGGCAGGTCTGGGTGGGGGCTACAATCCTGTGGTCACTCCACACTTGCCCCCGCGGCTGCCCCTCAATGGCTCAGACAGGAGGGTCAGACCTTTCTCGTAGATGCTCTGTTTGTCTTGCGGGGACAGTGCGGCCACCTTCTGTTTCAGCTTCTCTGACTCCATCTGCACGTGCTTCTCGGTGTATTTGTCATCCGGCTTCATGGACAGTGTCAGCTTATGGGGATTGTTCTGGAAGCACAGAGCAACACCGCCGCTTTGGAAGGCCAGGCTGAAGGCCGCGGTGCCATGGCCCCTGGTGATCTATGCCACTGCTGACACAGAGCACAGAACCCTGCGCAGGAAGTCAGCCAAGACCATCTCAAGCACAAGCACATGTGCACCACGTGGAGCCCGAGGTGGGAGAGGTGGGTTGACAGGCCCACAGGGACAGCTGCAGGACACAGCTGCAGACCGTCCCCCTTCAAGTCACTGGGTTCAGCAGGAGTAGTCCCGGGGTAGAGTCACATGCCTGCAGGCACTGAGGAACAAGGTGGAGTCCAGGGGCAGGAGGAGGGGTGCGGGGCCAGACAAGCTTGTGTGCAAGCTGTGTAGACTTGCACACACAAGGCAGGTGAGTGGGGATGCAGAATGCAGTGCTTCCGATATGTGCATTTCTATTTTTAACACTCACGATATCGTGTCACCTTATTCTGAACAAAGACCAATTTACAGATACATATCAAGCTCCCAGTGTTAAAAGGCTCAGAAACAACGAATCCTCCCAGTTTCTTACCTGAAAGTACTGCTTCACTTTTTCTTGCAGGAACTTTGGGTTCTCCTTGAGGCACTGTCTGAACCGGGCCATCTGGCCCCCCAACTTCAGGAGCTCCACAGGGTCCCCGTCATGATTCCAGCAAGAAGCTATGTACTGGGAGAAAGGTCATGTCCCTGCGTCACCCGGGGTGATCTCTGGCACCACGAGTCCCAGGCAGATGTTCTATTAAATCTTTCTTAGTAAGGAAAGTTCAGCCATTCTTTGGTTAAATAAAAAAAAATAAAAAATTTTAAACCCATTTTGGGGGGATTTTGAGAGATAAATTATCAAGGAAGACACTTGTCTTATACATGGTCAACCTTGGTTCAATCCCTAACAAAACAAAGGACCCCGCAAGCCCTATCAGGAGTGATCACTAAGCTCAGACCAGGAGGAGGCCCTGAACACCACTAATGGGGCACAAACAATCCCCTAAATAAACAAATCTGTTTTCTCCTGACATAAAAGCACAGTTTAGATTACTTTTTGAAAATACAGTTGCCAACAAATCAGTTAAAAATCACTTCTCATTTCAAGTTTTGATGTTAATAAGAGTCAGCAAAGTTAGCAAGACACAGACTAAGCCCCGAGTCACGGTTCTACTGAGGGCCCTGTCGTGGGCCGAAGGGAGCAAGGTCAGGTGTGTCCCCCAGAACTGAGGGCTCTGTGAACTCTGGGCTAAAGATGAAATGTGTCTTCCACCGATGCCTCAGAATCACAACAGGCAAAGGTGTCGTGTATTGGTGCAGCCAGAGCCAACACCAAGAAAAAGATCAAGAACACAGGGTTGGGCAGGGGGGCGTCGTGCTACACACCGAGGTCAGGGTGAGCCCAAAGCTGACAGACTGATGTTTCATCTGGATCTCGAGTTTATGGAGCAGAGCCTCGATGCGGTCGTCCTCGAAGCCTTTCCTACAGAAAAGCACAGGGAGCTGGAGCTGGGACGCAGTGGGGGTGGGGCCCACGGTGGTGGTGTGGGGGAGGACACATGCGGGCCCTGAGCTCACTCACTCAGCCACCTCCTCGATGGTCTTGTCAATGATGCTGCAGACCTTGCCCACGTCCTCCTCCGCAATGCCCTGAAGGCCCACGCTGAAGTAGGCCTCCCGGGTGTGGCCGCTGTACCTGCAGGATGGGGGGTAGTTAGTGCTCAGCCAGGCCAGGCTCCACAGAGTAGATGGGTTCTCCCCACACAGGTCAGCCATGAAAGAGCCACCTGAACTGTCTGGGAGAACTAATGATCCAAGCTTTTTGTCTTTGTTGGTTTTGCCTTTCCAGGTCTCACCCAGCAGTGCTCAGGGCTGACTCCTGGCAGTGCACAGGGGACCTGTGGGATACTGGGGTTTGAATGCCTGACTCACTGTACTATTGCCAGGGGCCCAGGGTCAACACGTGGGGAAGACGCTATGGACTCCAGAGAGATGGGCCTAGAAACAAGGTCAGGAAGCCTCGACTTCCCTTCCAAGTGCACAGCGTGAGCCGCCGTCAGAATGGCAGGGGAGCTGTGACAGGGCATGCTGGCCCAAGTCCCTCTGTGGGGATGGAAGCCCTGTGAGGCTGAGTCCCCTCCCACCCCGAGGACCCAATCCCTACAGTGACAAGTGAGGGCGCGGGGCCTCACCCAACTTCCGGAGAGAAGTCGCTGCCGAGCCCTGGCTCGATGAGGGCCTTATAGAAGGGGGAGTTGGGGCCACTGATGAGCAGTGAGGACAGCAGGCTCAGTGTGAAGGCCTCGGCGGTGTCGGTGATCCTGGGAGTCAGGAGGGAGGGCAGCCCTTAGCCTTGTCCTCCAGACCCGGCCCACAACCACCCAGGCCCCAGCAGATGCTCTGCAGCACCCTGAGACACAGCACTGCTGGGTGTCCACACGGCCTCTGGGGGCTGCAGGCAGGGTCCCGAATCCTGTCACTGTGGACAGCGTGGCCCAGGCGCCCACAGGGGCCTGCAAGAGCTTGAGGTGGCAGCACACAGCACCTCGTACTCCAAGGCCCCATGACCCCAAGACCACACGCTTCCTGTCAGACCTTCAAACACCATGATCTAACAACCCATAGCACCAGGACTTCAGGAGAAAGAAATAGCCCCTCGATGTTGGGACCAAGCCTGGCTTCCGGGACACATTCACTGCAGGGGGTTGGGGTTCCAGGCACACTCACTGTTGGGGCCTAGGTCTGGGGCATTCCCTCTGGGGCTGAGGCACACTCACTGTGGCAGGAGGTAGCTGACGCTGACAGTGGTCTGCTTGGAGGCATCTGCAGCCAAGGCATCCGGGCCACACGTGATCTGTGATGTTCTCTGCAGAAGACAGGGAGCTTGAGGTCAGCCCCAGGGGCAGTGTGGCGGGGTGTAGGGTGTGTATGGACTTGAGGCCAGCCCTGGGGGCAGTGTGGCAGGGTGTGGGAGAGCCTGAGGGGTTTAAGGCCAGTCCGAGGATGGGCTTGCACAGGAGTATGGGGAGTGCAGCCTACACTGGGCAGGGGAGTAAGGGCCACGGGCTGCCTGCCCAGGCCTGTGGAGTCCTGAGTCCCTCCTTGCCTGCCTACTGCATTCCAACCTGCCTGGAGGCCACCAAGACACATGCACACATGCACATGCGCACACAGGCACACATGTGTGCTCACCGGCTTGTCCCAAGGCTTCTGTGCAGGCACGGCTGTGCGGGGCTCGATTTTCTGGAACTTGCTCAGCGCCTCCTCCTGGATCTGCTGCAGGTGCCGCTCGAGGGGGAAGTTCCCGTAGGTGAAGAACCTGAAAGGACACACGGGCCGGGTGGGTGCTGGGGGTCCTGCCAAGGGGCCCCCTTGGAGCTAAGAGGGTCTTCAAGCATCTGAGGCCCTAGTCCCGAGGGCGCCCAGGAGCAGAGGTAGGAAGTACCCGACTTCCACCCTGTGGGAGCCTGCACCATGTCTGAGGGACCAGGTGGGCCAGGGCCGACACCACAGGTGCATGTGGGGAACCGCAGGCAGCGTGGCTCTGCACTCACTCTGTCTGGGCCAGGGGCACCTGTGGGGCCCTCAGAAACCACAGCCCAGAGCAAGTTGAGGGAACAGATGTACACAGGGCAGGAAAAGAAAGCTCCAAGAAAGACTTCGAGAAAGTTCCAAGCTGAGACCAGACGTGTCTCAGGGAACCGAAGCCCCAAACATCAGGTTCTAACTCACTGGACTTTCTGTCAAGGCATGTTTGCTCATGGACACAACGAAGCCATCTCCCTCCTGGGGCTCAAGGGGGCGAGCACTGGGCCCAAGTGAGTCTCCCAGGTTGCAGAGACACTCCGTCATGAGGGAAGTCTGAGACGGAGGATGGAGGACCAGCCCTGGGCCTGCAGCCACAGTGTCATTGTGCTGACAGAGCTGTCCCTACAGCCACAGCACCTGGGACCCTCTGAACAGGGAGAGTCCCAATGGGGCAGCAAACGAGGCAGAGAACACGGACAGGAGGAAGGCACCTGGCATTGCTGGGGTGGTAGTGTGTAGCGTGGAACTGCTTCAGCTGCTCCCACGTGAGGTCGGGGATGCAGAGCGGGTCGCCCCCTGAAACCACCGCATATGTGTGGTCAGGCAGAAGCTGGTTCTGGAGGTGCTGGGAGAAGATGGCCTGGCTGTCTGTCTGTGGAGAGAAACCCAGGATGGGTGTTTGGGGACCACAGAGCCAAGGGACAGTCCCCCAGCAGGGCCCCCTCTAGGGTGGGGTACCAGGCATGCTAGGACCCCACAAATCTGAAGCTTAGGAGGGCACCAAGAGCTCCTGACAACGGTGGGTCTCCTGATGACAGAGGGGCGGTATGAGTCCGAGCTGAATTTTCTGTGTCAGAGACAAGGGCTCAGTCTCAAGAGACAAGTCACCCTGGCACTGCACACTCAGTGTTCGGGGCAACACCCAGTCGTGCTGGGGCTGGAACCATGGAGCGTAGCCGGCTGAACCCCGGGGTTTCACGCACCAAGCATGCATTCCAGGCCTCTGAGCTGTCTCCCTGGCCTGTGGTAGGTTTTGAAAGGTACTTTTCCAGAGACAGCAGAGGAATTGCTGGCTCACACCCACTGCTCCGCCCCATGTGAGAGCTGGGCACTCAGCCTTGCCATGGCTGAGGTTCCACAGGACCTCTGTGCTTGCACAGGAGGGAAAAGGACGAGACGGTGCACATGGTAGAGGGCGACCCCGGGGAGGAGTGTGGGGCACAGCCAACAAATGCTCCCCAAAGTTGAGGCCCTCTGCTCACATTGCCAGCCCCGCATGCCCTGAGGGTCACTGCAAATAGACTAGTCAGGGGAGAGGGTCAGCGTCTCAGACTAGGCCTCTCACGACAAGAGAGATACTCACAAATGCGCCCTTCATCTCATTAAAGACGACGCCTTTAAAGATCAGCGGGCTCTTGGGGTCCTGGGGGTCCTTGTGCTCCAGCCGCCATCCTTCCTGCCTGAGGGGGAGAGACATGGCTCAGTGATGCGCATCCCTATGGGCATCTGGGCTGCCCGAGTGCCACGCACCAGAAATCCAGCTCCCGTAGGCATGGGAAGAAGGTGGCATCCAGGTACACGGACAGGAGATTCTGGAAGTCCTTGGGGTTTTGTGTGGAGAACGGGTACATGGTGTAGTCACTGGCTGGGTGCGGAGGAAAAGAGAGATTGTGAGGGTGAGTTCCACAGTGCCAGCTCGGCCCTCCCGCTAGGGCCCCAGGGGACCACTGGTCAGTGATCCAGAGCTGTCCTGGCCCGTCTGTCCTGCACGAGGTGGACAGCACAGACAATACCCCTCCCTGAAAGCCAAACTTCAAAGAGTAGCAGTTCAACCCGTGGCCCCAGAGCCACAGGGTCTCAGTATGCTGACAGATGTGTCCACGCAGCTACATCACTTGGGTCTGCCCCTTCCCCATGGAGTCCGGCCTGCCTCAGGGCTGCAGGGGTAGAGAGGCCTGGCGAGCAGGGCACCTGCTACAGGAAGCCCTCGGCGCAGGGGCTTGCCCACCTGTGAAGGCGTTCATGAACGTCGACAGGGACCTATTCAGCATCTTGAAGAAAGGGTCTCGGCATGGATATTTCTGAGAGCCGCAGAGGACCGTGTGCTCCAGGACGTGCGGCACGCCCGTGCTGTCCATGGGAGTGGTGCGGAACTGCACGCTGCGGGAACATGCAGGGGAGGGCTGAGCACACTCGGGGGGAGGGCTGACCCGCAGTGAGCATGCTCTGGGCACACTTGGTGGCACACAGTATACACCACTTCAGTGCACTGAGTACAGTAGTACGGTATAGTGTGACGGCATGGAGTACACTGTACTCTAACACAGCACAGCATAGTATACCATAGTGTAGTGCAGTGCAGTGCAATGGAGTATACTGTGCTCTAGCCCAGTGCAGTGCAGTGGCATACAAAGTAGTACAGTAGAGTATAATGCAGTACACTGCTCAAGCACATACCATGCATATTGTAGTACAGTGTAGTGAAGTATATTGTGCTCTACCCTGGTGCAATGCAGAGGCATACACTCTAGTATGGTAGATATTGTGATGCAGTATAACAACGCGGCATCCTGTGCTCAAGCACAGCATCGTGCAGTATACTGTACTTAAGCACAGACTGTAGCATGGTGTAGCATGCAATACGGTAGTGTATATTGTAGTATAGTGTGGTGCAGTATACTGTAGTATGCTACAGTGCAGTGCAGTGGCGTACACTACAGCTGATCCAGTGCAGTGCAATATACTGTAGTACTTTATAGCGCAGTGCAGTGGCGTATACTACAGCATGGTGCAGTATGGTGCAGTATACTGCAGTATGCTATAGTGCAGTGCATTGGTGTATACTACAGTGTGGTATAGAGCAGTGTGGTGCAGTAATGAGAGTGAACATCACACAGAACATAGCATCATTACATGCCATCCCCTCAGCTTTGTGGAAGGAAACATGGGAGTGTTTCTAAAGCAATGGCTGGGGTGCTCCTCAGGTGGAGCACGTGCCCTTCAGGGGCGTGGCCCAGGGCTTGACCCTGGCCCCACAGATATAAAAGGCTGAGCCATCACTCACGGTGATTCTGCAGGGAGCTGAGATCCCCTCCCTGTGGGGGCCGCCTGGGTCACACTCACCTAAACAGGTTGTTGGAGTCTTCCCGTGCCAGGTGTAAGTACTGGGCCCCAGTGCCCTCATGGCTCAGCTTCACTGCGGTCAGGAACAACTCCGGGACAGGCGTCACCTGCAGGGCAGGGGCAGGACAGCCGTAAGCACCAGGGGCTAGAAGGTAGCAGAGGGACCCGCCAACATGGAGTGGGGAAACAGAGCCCAGACCTCCCCATAGTCAGGGCACAGGAGCCCCCGCCCTACTCTTTGGCCCTTTGAAGTACCTTGGGTGGCCCGGGGGGTTCTGAGTGTGCCTGAGTGGCCCCCAAAGGGCCACAGACCTGGGGCAGGTACGTCATTCTCTACTGACCTACCCTCAAGCCTCCCCACCCACAGCTCCAACAGGAGAGGGTGGCAGTCCGCATTGACTTCCTGCGCTAGTGCTGGGCCGCCTCCTCCTGTCCTCATCCTGACCAGTCCTGCTGGGGCAGTGAGAAGACAGTCCTGATGCCGGGAAAGGGGGTGGGAGGTGGGGGAAGGCTGCCCTGCAGGTTCGAGGGACCTTCATCACATCAACAGCTGGGGCCCAACCCTGTCACTTGGGTGTTCCAGCAGGTACTGGCTCTCAGGTCAGTTCCTGAGAGGGAGGTGAGCTCAGCAGCAGGCTCTCCGCCACTTTCCTGTCCCAGGAGCTCTGCCGCACATCTGACAAAAGGTAGCTCAGAGCACCTCTCTGAGCAGCCGGCATCTCCCTGCAAGCCCCATGAGCCACAGCATTGAAGGGGTCGTCCAGTTTGTGCCTGGGGCAGCCTCAGGACACTGGGGTCTAGGCCTGCCCAGAAAGTCAGGACGGACAGAGCCCCCCTGACAGGGATGGAAGCTGGCTCACCTGGCGCACAGTGAAGCCATGAATCTGCTCCCCGGCATGGTAGCGAAGTGCTCTCTGGCAGGCAGTGCTCTCCCACCTCCGGGTGCCATGGACAGTGCTGTGTATGGGGAGAGCAAGGGAGAGAGTGAGAGACTAAGGGCTGAGTCGGTGCCAGGGACCAGATGGCCGCATGAAAATTAAATTCCATGAATTGGAGCAAGAGCACAGAGGGCAAAGTTTGACCTTGCACACAGTTGACCTGAGTTCAATTCCCGGCATCCCACATGGTTCCCCAGCACCACCCAGAGTGATTCCTGAGCACAGAGTCAGGAGTAACTCCATGAGCACTGCCTGGTGTGACTCAAAAACAAAAAAAAAAAAATGAAGGAGCAAGTTAAACTCTGTGCCCCCCAGATTCATCCCAGAGAGGACTCCCCAGCAAGCTCAGTTCTCACACTCAACTAGGGAAAAGCTTCAGCCCCAAGGACTGAGTCGACTCAGAAAGCATTTTACTGTTGGCCAATAACTGTAATTATAAGCCTGGTCTCTCCCCTCTGTCCGACTCAGGAAGTACAGCCAGGCCCAGAAAGGGAGCAGCAGAACCTGAATGGGACAGACAGAACCAGGGATGGCAGGCAGACATGGGGGAAGAAGGGGACAGAACACACCTAAGTGTGGCCAGTCCTGTGGCCCCAGGACGCTAGGGAGGGACACTGAGACCTGAGCTGGGCAGGCCTGTGGGAGAGGGCTGGGACCGATCACAGCTACCCACAGGGGCAACTCCGGGGCCCAGAACAGCTCCACTGGTTGGCAGGAGTCAGTGTTATAGGGATGACCCTGCACCGGGGTCATCTGAGGGGTGTCCCTGGCCAGGAAGGGACTGTCTCTGCCTCTATGCCCCATGCCTCACACACTTCTCTCCTAGGGTCCATTCCTACCCAAGGGCCACACTGTGAGTGGTGCCTGCTACATCCCAGAACCAAGCCAAGACAGTTGAACCATGGGTGGCTTCTAAGGGAGGTGACCATACACCCTCACTGTGGCTGCCACCGGCCAAAGGGCTGGATCAGGACTAGCCCAGAGGAGAGGGAGCCACACAGTTCAGACCCCCATGCATAGGCCCCAGGGGCTCTGCAAGCCTGGGCCTGTCTAGCACAGACCCTTTCGGTTGCCCTGGCCTCTGCTCGATGCTGCACTTGAGTCCCAGTCTTCCATAGTGTCCCAGGGAAACAGCCCAGAACTGTCCCTCCCTCAGCCTGGAGCAGAAGGCCTGTCTGAAGGATGCTCAAGTAGGGACAACAAGCCTAGTTAATGTGTAGCTGGGTCCATCCCAGCACTGGGTAAGTCCTGGGAAGTGCTCGCCCTCCTAACCCCAACCCCACCCCAACACACAGTTTGAGGGGAGAGGGCTTGTCTCCCTCACTCACACTCATATACTCACAGTCACACATACACAGTCACACACACACACACACACACACACTCATAGTTCTCAGAGCAGCGGGCTTGTCTCTCTCAGACACTCTCAGAATCAGATCTGGGGGTTTGTCTCTAATTCACTCTCAAATCTAAGGGCTTCTCTCTCACAGACTCACTCTCAGGTCTAAGGGCTTGTCTCTCACAGACTCATACTCAGGCCTGAGGGCTTTGTCTCTCACACAATCTCTCACACTCACACTCAGATCTGAGCACTTGCTTCACACACATACACACACACACACACACACAAAGAGACACACTCACACATACTCAGATCAGAGAACTTGCCTCTCATACTCTCACGCTCACACTCAGACCTGAGTGCTAGTTTCACAACACACACACTCACACACACTCTCTGAACAACTGCTTCACACATTCTCACACTCACACTCAGACCTGAGTGCTTATTTCATACACTTACATCATGCTCATACATGCTGAGATCTGTGGGCTTGTCTCTCATACTCTCTCACACTCACTCAGACCTGAGCACTTGTTTCACACACATCCACACATACTTTCTCACACTCAGATATGAGGGATTGTCTCTGACACTCACACTCAGAACTGAGTATTTCACACACACACACACACACACACACACTCAGATCTGACGGCTTGTCTCTCACACAAACCTGAGCGCTTGTTTCGCACGCGCGCACACACACACACACACACACACACACACACACACTCAGATCTGAAGGCTTGTCTCTCTCACACTCACAGATCTGAGAGTTTCATACACACGCACACATTCATACACACATTCTCTCTCTCTCTTACACACACACACACTCTCTCTCCTCTCTCTCTCTCACACACACACACATACGCAGGTCTGAGGGCTTGAGGCACCCCTCAAGCTCAGGAGGAAGCAGCAGAGCCCAGCGCCCAGGGACCCGTCCCTGCAAGGGGGGCAGCCGCGTGCGGCCCCGGCCCCGGCCCCGACCCCCGCCTGTCTCACCCGCCGCTCAGCCGCAGCCTCCGCAGGGGGCCCCCAGCGCTCGCCCCGCAGCGCCACATGGTGACACACGCCCCGGCGCTCGGCGCGCCGCGACCTCACTTAACAGGACGTACGGCGGGGGGCGGGGGGCCGGGCCCGGCGGCGCCTGCCCATTGGTGGGCGCGAGGGCCGACCGCCGCGGCGATAGGCGAGCGAGAAAGAGGGAGGGTCTTGCAGCGAGGGGCGGGACCAATGGACGAAGGATGGGCGGGTCACGGGGAAAGGGCGGGGCTAGAGCATGCGCGCTGAGGGACAGACGCGACAGCCCGGCGCGGGCCGGGGAGGCGGGAGCGTGGGCGTGGCCTGCGCTCTTGGGGCGGGGCTTGCGCGGCGGGAGCGGGGCTCCGAGCGGGGAAAGGTCAGCTTTGCTGCCAGAGCAGTGGGGTGGTCTGGCGTGGGGAGGACTCTCCTGCCCTGTGACCGTTGGGGTCTGGAAGGAGGCGACTCCTGGCCAGGACTGCTCTGCCGGTGCTGCCCGCTCTGATCCCAATCACGTGAGAGCAGAGTACTGCCCCAGCTGCCCTGCCCATCCACTCTGCAGGGGGTCTGGTCCACCATGGCTGACCCCGGGTGTGCCGGAGCAGCACCGGGGATTCGCGGCCCGTGAGCCTGGAAGAAGTCACGAGCGAGTGTGTCCTCGTCTCCAGGGCCCACCTCCTCCTCTCCGATGCCCTTCCAGCCACAGGCCTCCGCCTCACGGGCACCCAGGCCCTTGCCCCACTATACCCCAGGCTCTGCAGGCAGAAGTGTGTGCCGGGCAGCAACCCAATATTGTCCTGCTCGCCCTCCTAGTGCCTGCCCACACTCCCTGCTGCTACAGGACAGGGTGGGAGGGGACCCAGGGCAGGGATGTGGGCACCTGTGGCCGGCACACGCCCCTCCAGCCTTTCTTGTGGGAGAGATCTGGGTCACTGCCTATGATCTGCCCTCCCAGCTGGGGGCTATTAGCCCTGGAGGTGGTGGCGTTTGATCTCTGTGAGGACAGAAGCGCCATAAATCATAATTGCGACCTACTGGACGTTCCCAGCGGAGACAGCCTCGGTGATGGCTGGTGCCCACACAGAGTGGGTTTATAGGCCCACCCCTGGCGCCCAGAGACGCGTCCATGAGCTTGGTGTTTGTCACCCAAACAAGTTGTGGAAGGGGGCAGTGCCGGGCCCCAGTTTCTCAGCCTGTTCTCAGCGGCCCCTTCTGACCCGTTCCCTCCCATTTCCCGTCCTTCTGGTTGGCCCATCCTGCACCATGGTCTCCATTCATGCCATTTTCTCCTGTGCTATCACCCGTCATTCCCGATGTTAGTGAAGCCTGTGGTTTGGTGAGATCAGCCCAGGGACACTGGTCAGGAGGCCCATGAGAGGGAGCCTGGAGCATTATGGGGTGAGATCGGCCTCCCCAGGAAGCTGTGCTACCCCTCCCCCCCACCAGTGTCAGACTGTGGCCTCATTTGGAAACTTTCAATGGAGGAAACTTTCAATGGAGGGTCGAGATGAAATGGGGTCATTCCCTGAGTGCTTCACCAGGATGGCTGCTCATGACGCACAGCGGGCACAAGTGAAGGGAGCCAGGAAGCTCCCGTGTGCACTGTTGTCCAGGCAGTATGCTGACGGCTTTGGGGGACAGCATTACCATGCCAACATCACCCCCAGAGAGGCCCCTGACCATTCTGGGTCATCTTCAGCCAGCCTCGTCCCTCCCCACCCCCACTGCTGGGCAATCTCCTCTCCTAACCCCAGGCCAAGGTTTATGGCTCAAGGCTGGCCATTTCCTCGCTTGTTTCTCTGGATGCTGCTGATGAAAGGACTCCCCCCTGGCATGGCCTTGCCTCAGAGGAGGCAGAGATCTGGAGTAAGGATTCCTCCCAAGGATTCCTCCCAGGATTCCTCCCAGGATTCCAGGCAACGCCGGGCACCCACATCCCTGCCAGGTCTGGGCGGTCTCTCTGCCGTGCAGGTGGAGGGATCTGTCACTCACTCCACCACGCAGCACAGACAGGCCGAGGCACTGCAGACGGGGCGGAAGGAGGCTGTCTGATCCCTGCCCCGGCCCAGGATGGCCGCCCCATAGCAGGCGAGCACTGGGAAACTTCTCTGGCTCCCCGCCAAGTGCTCCTGGTTGGAGAGGAAAGGGAGACTGGTGTCTCCCAAGCAGAGGCTCGGTGACATGTGGTCAACCATCAGCGGCTGCTGGCTTCCTGGCTGCTCATGGGAACAAGGAGAAAGCCCGCACACCTTAGTGTGTGAGCATGTGTGAGTCGGGATGTGTGTGAGTGGGTGTGTCCATGTTAGTGTGTGTTTGTGAATGCATGTGTGTCTGCATGAGATGGTGGGAGTGACACAGACGTTGTCTGTGTGAGGGGGTGTATGTGTCCATGTGAGAGAGTGTATGTGTTTAGTATGTGTGAGTGTATATGTATGATCGTATGAGTAACTGCGAGTGTTGTGGGTGTGAGGAGTATGAGCCATACCGAATGCATGTATATGCTTGTGAGTATATGAGCATATGTGAGTGTATACATGAGTATGTTTAAGTCTATGGGCATGTGTATATGTGTGGGTGAATATGAGCATGTGTGTGTGCATGAGTATATGAGCATGTGTGTGAGTGAGCATTGTGTGTGTATGTGTGTGCATGAGTGTATGAGCATGTGAGTGTGAGAGTATGGTGTATGTAAGCACGAGAGTGTGTCAGTGTGCATGTGAGTGGATAAGCGTGTGTATGTGAGTGTTTGAGCGTGTGTCTGTGAGTTTGTGTGAATGTGTGAGCATGTATGGGTACATGAACACATGAGTGTGTGAATGTGCATGTGAGTGTGTTAGCATGTGTGTGAGTATGTGAGCATGTAATGGGTGTGAGTGTGAGCATGTGTGTGAATGTGTGAGTATGTGAGCATGTAATAGGGTGTGAGTGTGAGCATGTGTGTGAGTGTGAGTGTGTGTGAGCGTGTGAGTGTGTGTCCGTGTGAGCATGTGTGGGCGTGTGTGAGTGTGCCAGCATGTATGGGTACAAGCCAGAAACCAGGTGCTGTGAGCTGAGGGTAGATGTTCTGGGTGACAGAGCCCGGCTCCCCGGCGGGGGGATGGAGACTCCTTCGGGTGGCTGCCGCCTCGTCCCAGCATGGCTGAGAGTTTCAGGGGCTCAGGGATGTACTGGAGCTCTGGGGCCCTGCTGAGTCACCAGCGGGGGCGCTGGACTGGAGCTGGCCTGTTGGGAAATCTGTGGCTTTGTGGGTGACATCGGGACAGGGTGAGGGGCTGAAGCAACAGGAGGGAAAATAGACCCCCACTTATTTGCCTTGTTAGGAGGTAGAGTCTGTCACCCTGATTCTGGGTGACAGTTCCAGGAAATCAGGGCGAGGAAGGTCAGCCCCTCCCCCCTCACATCTCCCTTAGCTCCTGTTGGCTCAGCTGGAAGGACTTGGGCAGGAGACAAAGCTGAGCAAAATGGACAAAAGGATCCAAGCACGAGCACCTGAGTGTGGCCTCAGTGCCCCGTGAGAGGGTGCGCTGAGGAGATGTGGAGCAGGGCATGGGGACGTGACCGCCAGGTGGAAGTGAGGACAGAGGGCTGGAGTAGGTGCTTGCAAGGATGACGCTGACGCCTGTAAAGCTTCCTCTCAGGCCCTCACTGAGCTTCTGTTGCTTTGTGCAGCCTTGATATTCCACACCCATCCAGCCACTCTTTGCCAGGCAGGGGCCATGGTGTGTGTGGCTGAGTAAATATTGACCTGGGCAGGCTGGGCAGCTAGATGCTTGCACCCCTGCAAACAGGCTCCCCAGCATGCTAGGCATCCTGTTCCACTTTGAGGCTGCTGGGCACCCCCACCTGCCCCCACACCAGGCAGGCTGACAACAGGCTGGCCAGGTCTGCACAGCTGGGGCGTCCGGGTCACAGAGAGGCCGGAGGAAGATGAGTGGTTTCACAGAGGCAGCCGGGGGCCAGAGCCCGTGGGGCCAGGTCAGAGTGGGCGGACATAGCCAGACCTTCCTGAATGGGTGTGAGAGGGTGGGGGCTGTAAGGCCAGCACCTGGCCCCACGCCCACCCCTGTCAGCGTCTCAGCATCCCGTCACAGGCACCCACAGTGCAGTGCTCCGGCCTCTCCTGTGTGTGCAGAGTTCTGGCTGCAGTCTAGGGCCAGCAGTGTTTGCCCTGAAAATTGTGGAAGATTTGTCTTCTCGCCTTTTCCCGCCACCCCCTACCAGGACTTCTGGTCACATGGGATCTTGGAACCAAGCCACGGCTGTGCCTGTCCTTGCCCCATGCCAGCACAGTGCCTCTGATGCCCTCAGGATGACCGCGGCACGATGCCGGGTCTCTCCTGACCACTTCAATGCCCCCTTACTGCCCCTTTGTCTCGGATCATCTGTGGTGATGGGATTCTGAGGCAGCTCCTGAGTGAGGATTGTCTCTCACCTTGCCGTGACCGGCTCTCTGCCCACGGCCTCGAGAGAGGCCATCTGCTCACCCAGGCTCCACATCCTCCAGGCTCACTGACCTGTGCAGGAAGGGGTTGCTGTGTGTAGGCCACGCATGGGTCCACTCATGGAGGGCCGGGAGGAGCATGGCCGAGCCCTGGTGGCACCTGCCTTGTGGCTTCAGGAAGGATTGTCAGGCACAGAGCAGGGGCCCCGGGTGACCCCAACAGCACTGGGGGCATCTATGCATGAGAGAAACGCTCATACCCTTTCCTCTCCCTTCCTCTCTCCACCTCTCTCTGCTTTTCTCTCTCACACGTGAAGTGCCTCACCCGTGGAATGAACCACGTGCTACAGCATGGTTTTAGACACAAAACTCACTGGAAAGAGCAGCTCCCCCTCGGAAAGACAGGGAATCCAGCACCCGAACCCCTCATGCCTGCTGCTGACCTGGCTGCTGTGAGTATGACACTAGGGGGCGCCATTGGCACGTCACATCCCTCCCTCCGTACAGCTCACATTCCCTTTCCCCCTCCCTCTCTCTCCCTCCCTGTCTCCCTCTCCCTCTCTCTCCCTCCCTGTCTCCCTCTCTCTCTCCTTCCCTCCCTCCCTCCCTCTCCATCTCTCTCTCTCTCTCCCTCCCTCTCTCCCTCCCTCTCTGTCC